TATGTTGGCCTTGAACGGCCAACTGATTCAGTGACCTTTTCGCACAAGACAAACTTCACGTCATGGGTTGTGGGCAAGCAGGCGCTGTTCAAGTGTTCATGTGATAATTAGAGGCAATGGATCCAAGGAACTTATGCGGCCGAAGAGGTAACGCTTGCAATCCCTAGGCGAGGGGCCCTGACCTTTCAGGGGGTAGCGGTCAGGGTTGGAAAGGAAGTGACAAGAAGGTACTGTTGTACGGAGTACGCCCGGCAAAATTATGGCGCTTGAAATCCAGGCTGGCCCTGTTTTGGCAAAAAGTCATTCTTCTCCGGCATTTCGTGCAAAGCTGGTCACGAAAATCACTCGCTTCGCAATCAGCGTACTCTATAATGGTTATTTACTTGACTTGTTGACGTGTCTTTCCGGCTATTTAAAGCTTTGGAGTCGTACTCCCCCCAACCGCAAATGAGAAGCCAACAAGACATCAGTGACCATGGGTTGCGTCTCGGCCACTCCCCCGATACGATCTTCATGGAGGCTGTGGTGGCTGAGTTCTCCGCTGGATCGAATGCACAGGCCTCTGGCACTGGAGCCATTTCTAACAGAGTACGGAGTACTCCGTAGTTGGACGAGCACAAGAGCCTATGACATGGTTATTATGCACTTCTCTACCTGCTTTTCTTATAAGCCTTCGCTATTAGATTGATGCGCTTGATTTATTTCTTGATGTAAGCACAATATGTCATTTCATCAATGTCCGGATGAAATGCGAAGAACGAGCTCTGAAATACGCCGAAGGATGCTTGCACAGTATGTCCTGCGTAATGTCTGGTTCCGGTTGCACCCAGCCAAATATGGTTTGGACCTAGGGACCAAGGCAAGTTGGTCTTGGGAAGGCAACGGTACATGAAACAGATTGCTAAGCATCGTACCTCTGAAAGGGAGCAATGACCAGCTCTCTTGAAGCTTTGTTCAGGTCATCGGGGAAATAAAGAACAATGTGGATCTTCATTAGCACGGGTATTCGCCGTATTAAATGAATACTTTCTGGTCCTCAATGTCATACCTCCAGGACTGATCTCAAAAGGGCTATGCTCAGGTATAAAGATCTTCTGTATTCACCCATTTGAGGTTAATATTAACATGTTGTTGGTGGGGTCTAGTATCGTCGATCGCGGGGCTATATCAAAGAGCATGTTCCCGCATGCGGGGAGTAGTGCTATCCCGATACCATCTGTCACTCGAGGCCCGGATAGTTGAGATGATGCGGACAAGACATAGCATGCTTGTCGATAGCAAGCCGGTTGGACAACTTAGGCTAGACCTCAACATGCGGGCTGTTGAGCGAAAGTTTTTGTACTAATTATCAATGAAGTGATACATCGCGTGGCTTCCTCGGATCTGAGGTTCCACCGTTGTTTCTCCACAAGGACATCATTTTGGGTGCTGTGGCAATAGACGAACCAGCACTTGTGCAGCATAGAGGCGGTGAAAGACGAGAACCCGTGTCGCAAAATGGCAAATCATAGTACGTATCTCCGTATGAAGAGACTTCCGAGCCAATGGCAAGATGGCTTCCCCAGGAAGTGGCCCCTCATGCACAGTCGAGATGAGACTGTCTAGGATAATTATGGCAAGTCTCAAAAGCGGTCTGGGGAATCGGGAGCAAGAGCTCCGGACGACTCCGTACAAAGGGATCTTTTGACAAGGGAGCCTATCAGCAAAATGATAATTGTTAGCTCCCAGCCAAGATGGAGCGATCAGAATGAAAAAGAGAAATAATATCCCTGAGTAGGATGCCAGCGACAAGTGAAAACCTGCCCGCGTCGAACACCGGCTATGACACGGGGCTCCCACTCAGCATTCGTTAAATGCCCGGCAAATCATCCAGTCCCTTTCTCTTCTGTAACTTGTAAGCAATGGCAGGCCACTAAGTTTTTCAACAAAGGAGTCCACATGAAATGAAAGTGTTGCAATCTCGTGAGGATGGAGGGAAATTTGACTCGTGATTGACAAGGAGATGTTGTGCCCATAACTGCCCAGCTAGAAACGCCAAGAGACGTTATGCTAGGGCAATCTTTCCTGAGCTCGTTGAAGCTCTGCTCGACTTCTGTAAGGACTGAGAGGCAATTTCTCATAACACATGAAAACAGGACAGATACTCCAAGTTTCTGCCAATTATCCCACTCAACTAGTCACCAAGAACAGCTTTCACAACTGCAGGCATAGGTTCTCCTCATTTGCTAATTCCTAAGAGCAGTGGTGAGCCTCTACCTATGGTCCAGGCTTTTAGAAAGGCCATATATCCCTCCGGCTACTCTACTGTACAAAAGGAATTTTACCTCCGCCTGTGAATGTTTTGATGTTATCCGAGCTAATGCTTTCCTTACCTCAACGTGAGCTCCATATAACATGATATCCGGGCCATTGGTATATTGACAACTGATACACACACCAATGCAGCAGACGTTTGGGTATTCCAGAGGATGAAGAAATATCAAGCAGACAGCCAGGATTTGAAGCTATTAGAGAAGAGCAATTCTTGAAATATGTCTGGAGCATATCATCTCCCTGCCTTGCAGTTAGCATATTTGGCTGCTTGATGTTAGCAGACGTGGCTACTCTCCACCAACCACGGCCTCGTTGCCCTCAACAACAATTTCGGGACGTTGAGCTGTAGCTGGTTGGCTGAATCATCATTCAAGAGAGGTTGGTCCTGGTGTCCTCTCGCTGCTAAAAAGATGAGAGAGGTTTCAAGGAAAATACATGGCAAGCCTACCACGTATACTGAAGAAGCACCTATGGAAATATTTGCCATTCAGTTCTTGGCCGATTTGAGTTCTCCGATCAGTCCTGTGCAACATCGCCAAATATCCCAGGGAAGCGGAACTTCAGGGGAGCACGGGAAGCTAATCTTAACTCCCTCTCCAGGAGGAGGTAACCTTGGAAGGATTTAAGCCTAAATGGCCCTTTTTTGACTTTTGTTGAAAGCTGATGCATATTACTCTCCCCTCGTTAATCGCTTGGATTCTTGGGGGCAATAACTTTCTCATAACTTCAACTGTGTCGATTGCAGTTAACTGGGAATCACTTCGAGAGCGCGTAGCTATCGGACGCGTATGTCTATTTCAATCTCAGAGGGTTTCTTTTCCAGCTCGGCATTGACAGCCGTAGGGCTGCATGGTTTGCGGCGGGTGGTGACGTATTGCCGCCAGAGTTACATCAGGGCGTCCTATTTTGGTGGGGCTTCCCGTGGTTCGCAGCGCTGGTGGTGCAACAAGCATTTATTTTATGAGGTGCTGATCTGATCATCCTGTTCTTTTCGAACCTTTTTTTTTTGCTTTTCCCCTGGCTTTCTTCCGCGAAATCTCCGATTTGCCATGGCGCAATCCATACTGGACGATGTCTCCCACAGGAGATACAACCCACTGCGAGGAACCCACGTCTTGGTCTCCCCGCATCGAACAAAAAGACCCTGGCAGTGAGTGGTGATATCTTGACGCTAAATCAGTCTGGATAAAGGCACTGATGCACTAGCGTGTGCCAGGGGCCAGCAAGAGTCTCCGTCTAAAACACTCCTACCATCATATGATCCTGCATGCTACCTATGCCCTGGAAACAAACGGGCCCAGGGTAGCCAAAACCCACAATACACGAAGACTTTCGTCTTTGTGAATGATTTTAGCGCGGTAAAAGAGGAGCAACCAAGTTATGGGCATGAAGAAGACCCCAACGGTGTGTTTTGGACAATCACTTTCGCCTTACCTTGGAAACGAATATGGTTTTGACTAGAGACCTAGATCTCGCATCCACCTTTCTTCAGGCAGTATCAGTAACAGGCCGATGCTATGTCCTCACTTTCTCCGCGAGCCACAATCTCACATTGGCGGATCTTTCGCCAAATGAGATAATTCCCATAGTTAATGCCTGGACCGACATTTATATTGGCCATCTCCCGGCCCATTCACCACTCGTGACGCGTGCGCAGACTGCAGTTCCGCTCGACTCGGCGGCACTGCAAATCCCCAAACCAAACCAGCAGTATCGCTACATGCAGATTTTTGAGAATAAAGGGGCTGCCATGGGGTGTTCTAATCCCCACCCCCACGGACAAATATGGACCACAAGTTCCTTCCCAGAGGAACCACAGCAGGAACTCGAACAACTCAAAAAGTATCGTCGAGAAAAGGCAGGGAGGAACATGCTCGAAGACTATGCTTCGCTTGAGCGAGAGAAACAGGACCGAGTGGTGTTTGAAAACGATACGTTCCTGGCCTTGTGTCCCTGGTGGGCGGTGTGGCCGTTTGAAACACTAATCATTAGCAAAGAGCATAAACGCTCGCTTGCAGATTTGACGATGGAAGAAAGAGAACATTTAGCAGAGACAATCGCCGACATCACAAGGAGGTACGATAATCTCTTCGAGACGCATTTCCCATATAGCATGGGGATACACCAAGCTCCGCTGGTTGGAACGGAAGAAGAAATAGAGGCGTCTCATTTGCATATACATTTCTATCCGCCGCTTCTGAGAAGTGCGACGGTAAGAAAATTTTTGGTTGGGTATGTTTTTGTCGGATACAAGTACGATTCACCGAAATGTTCAAGTTAACTGGAAAGTCTAGGTATGAGCTGATGGCTGAGCCTCAGCGCGACATCACCCCGGAGCAGGCAGCGGCGAAGCTAAGGGCCTGTGGAGGTGAATTGTATCGAAGATTGGACGAAGGGGGTGCGAGCTGACATACCGATGTTTGCAGCTTGGGATTAAACCCGAGAAATGTGCAATCCTGTTCGGTAGCACTTGTAGGTTGACACACGACTTTGGAAGTTTAGAGCAATTGTCCATGGAAAAGTTCGCTTTCATTACTCCTGATGTCGAGGAAATATTCATAAATCTTCCATTTGAGCATATCGGTATAACCCGCGCAGAACTGAAATACAGAGCACAAATCCACGCCCAAGCATTACCGCTCCACTATTTGTCCGTTTTTCATTTCTGCCTTGTTTGTTTGAATTTATCACTTCACATACCATCCCCTCTGCGTGATCATCCACGCGAAGCTCGCACTCGCCACCACCAACGGGCTAACAAATCTGCCCTTGGCTCTCGCGCTTCCAAACACCAACCACTCACTCACAAAGTGAGCCAATGCAATTCCGTACGTCCATATCGCTAGATCGTATACATGTGGGTCGGAGATGTAGTATGCCGCGTAGAAGCGTATCACGGAAGACAAAAACGTCCAGGTGCCAAATTTGCGCGAGGAGAGAGGGGTGACAGGGCCAGCAGCGTAGAGTTGACCGGTATAAGTCGGGTTAGTGTATGCCTGGAGGGTATTGAGGGTCGATACGACGGAGACCTGTTGCGGGGAGTTAGCATTTTCTTGATGCTTTTTTGCGTTTGGTTCCTTGCTGTTCAATGATTTGGACGTACGAGGAGGAGCCACTTGGGGAGGTAGCCCTCGTGCTGTGGTAAATAGAGGGCGAGGGACATTGTACGGCGTAGACAAGCTGATACAAAGCAATTGTTTATTAATCCTGTGATAAAGTTCCAATTACAGTGTAATTGTTTTCGTGTGACTTCGAAAACGTTCCCTTGGTGGCAGTGAAGGCTGAAAAGTTCCCAAATTTTGAAAAGGAGCTTCTTCCGAGCTCAACCTCCCAACAGCGGCACCAGCCCTTTTTTTTTTTTTTTTTTTCCCTCTCTTCGACAATCACTCATTGTTGTCGACATTATGTCTCATATCTCATTTAAAGGCTGTAGTTTCCTCAGCCACCTCGACAGCTTTCAATTTGACATCTCATCATGCCAGACGATTGCAGCATCGCTGGTCTTTGCCACAGGAGGTCTGTTCCTCCTCAGCAGGGGCCTTAGCTTCCTTCGAGCTCTGTTCAGCATTTTCATCTTACCAGGGAAATCAGTATGTTACCTGAGTAGAAATCCCAGGAGGCCTAGTACGGTAGTCTTCGACAATGCTAACCTATTCCGTCTAGTTGAGCAGCTTTGGCCCGAAGGGTAGCTGGGCCCTCGTTACCGGTGCCTCTGATGGTATTGGCAAAGAATATGCCCTCCAGATTGCGCGAAAGGGTTACAACATCATTCTCGTTTCACGCTCCGCATCGAAGCTCTCCGCCGTGGCCTCCGAGATCACTTCCGCTAATCCCAACATTTTGACCAAAACCGTTTCCATGGATTTCTCAGAGAACAACGACGAGGATTACGAGAAACTTAAGGATATCATCAAAGACTTGGAGATCTCTATCCTAATTAACAATGTGGGGTTGAGCCATAGCATCCCTGTACCATTCGTTCAGACTCCAGAAAAGGAAATGAAAGATATCATCGCCATCAACTGTCTCGGCACACTCCGCGTCACACAGCTCGTTGCACCCGGGATGATGCAGCGGAAACGCGGGTTGATCCTTACGATGGGCTCATTCGGCGGTCTCTTACCTACTCCTCTGCTCGCCACATACTCCGGCAGCAAAGCTTTCTTGCAGCACTGGTCTACTGCACTAGCTTCCGAGTTGGAGCCATACAACATTCACGTGCAGCTCGTCGTCAGCTACCTCGTCACGTCTGCAATGTCCAAGGTCCGCAAGGCTTCCATGACAATCCCAAACCCCAAGGCCTTTGTTCGATCGACTCTCAACCACCTGGGACGCAGCGGGGGCTTGTTTTCGTATTCGCATACATCCGTGCCGTATTGGACTCACGGTCTCATGGCCTGGGGCATCACTTCTTTCCTTGGTGCAATGAGTAAAACAGTCCTTGGAATTAACAAGTCCATGCACGAATCCATTCGACAACGCGCGCTGCGTAAGGCAGCGCGGGAGAGTGGAAAAAAGGCACAGTAGATGTTGTGTGTCTAATCCTTTTTTCAGACATGGCCTAAATAAATTTTTCGGGGTTTATATGCTGCCAGCTTTGTCAGTAGTGCAAAATGAGCAGAAAAGATTGTATGAATTTACTTTTGGGTCCACGTCCTTTTGAGTGGTGTTCTTAATGTACACTACAAGTTTAAATAAATAATGAAACGTCACTTGAACAGGCTCTTGGAATTTGTCCAATTAGCTAGGAGCCGAGCTCGAAATCCACAATAAATAGCAAGGACCGTGTACACCAACTACTCCTGACAACCCTACAATGAAGATATCACGGAACTTCAAAGTCTTGGGTCACTCTGGCATCCCGTGTCTTTTCCAACCCAAAGGAGTCAAAATGCTAATAGTTTCCTGATCAACAATGTATAGACTCGTGATTTCATGGATCAGTGCAGCTGAATCTTTCTTAACACCGCGTCGCTCACGGATTGATGCCCAAAAGCTGCCAGGGATCCTGCTTCTCCGAGCCCTACGAAGAAGCAGCCTTTCATGAAACCAAGGCCAAACGACAATCCAGAAAAAGTGCATGGAGGTATGGGGGCTTTTCTTCGCACATCTTCTCAGTTTCGTCCGTCAAATTTTATTCCATCCTCTCCCATTGGGACTGCCATCCTGGTGCTGCAGGATGGGCTCTCCGTATTGTGCCCCATAATAATCATGCACGTCATTCCAGTTGCTGTTGGAACTGCCAGGATGCTGTTGCACTTCTGAACTCGGTCGAGCTCCGATTTGACATCGGCTCATATCAAAAGGCGGTTCTTCATACCTAACGTGGAGCTGGTCGCATGCTGGGGTTTGTCCTCTGCACTCTGGAATATCTCGCCATGAAATTGTCACGCTCCCACCGCAGATGCCACATTAGTTAAACTTGGCAAAGAGCCTCCATCGGGAGTATGTACGTAATAATTTACGCATCAAGAGACCTTAGTTAACTAGTTGCTCAGAATATTACTGAGTCAGTCAGTCATGTCGACCCTACTATCGAAGTCAAATTTTCCAAAGGCTTCGTACCGCTGTTCTTAGACCCGTTCTCGCGTTCGGATCCATCACACTGGAATGTTAATGGTTCCCGTTTTCTGGGGCGCACCCGACAAAGTGGCTTGCCCGGCTCCCGAGCCCAAGCGAGTTTGGAATCTTCACTCCTGTTTGGCGGGTCAAAAAGTGCTAGCTTGCAGGGAGGTAAGATATGTCTTCTCCACCCTGGCCTTCAACAACCTTGGCAATGGCTCCCGCGTTGAGTGCTACGTAGGTCAAAATGATTGGGAGCCACGATCACGTTTGCCCATCCTGGAGCCACAGAGAAGCCATACTTATGATAATTCGCCAATTCTTCGGCGTATCGTTGCCTCCCCTCACTTCCATCGACACATGATATGGTACAGATCGCCTGTCAGCACCACAATTCCCCCCCTCCCCTCTTCCCCCCACACCTCGTTGACGAGTCAGGAGTTCAATTCCCGACGTAACTTGACCTGAGGGCAAAGCTGCCAACAATGCTGGGTATTCATTTGACGAAGGACCAGTCACGACTGAAGTTATCTTCCCCTGGCGAGCCAGTCAATCAAGTTCTCGAGTCCTTGATGAAAAGGAGTGCGTTTTTTCTCTGATCCTGCGAGATATACAGAATAGCGCGGCTTGGAGGGCGATAATCGGGTGCTACGACTATGGCCCACCAGGGATGCATGTTGGTAGCCAATATCGTTGGGCTTTGGTAGACGCCAATTCTCGAGAGGCACATATTGAATTTGATTGCACCGCTCTAACAGCCGAGGATGCATCGATAGGCTTGCTAATTGAATGTGGCAAAACACCGTTGAGGGCGACGTCTTCAATCTGAGTATGTCGTGAAAATTTTCTCCAAAGCAAGGTTCGACGAAATAAAATTTCACTCTGTTTGGGCCTGCTGCGAGTTCGGGAATTCTTGATGGAGGAGACAGAAAATCTGGCAGATCCTAGGGACGGAAGGACGCATTTTTGATTTGATAGAATCGCACCTAGAGTCTTTAAAAATTGGACGAAGCGAAGTAATTGTTGGAGCCAAAAATTCTATAGATACCAAGATCGTGGTCTGCAAATTATCAATCTATCTTCAATATGGCTTTAGCTATCCTTCAGCGCCAGGACGAAATCCCAACACCGGTTCCCGGGCCTGCCGAAGTATGAAGGCTGTCAGCAACGCTGAGAACATCTGGGAATACACACCTAGCACTGAGCCTCCATTTGGCAGTGGCGACGCCCCCTATCTTTTCTTGGGCTATGTATATTGGCCTAGTCATTAGGATGCTGCTTGTCGATGAAGTTGACATATCCAACTAAAGTACTTCCGGAGTTCTTGTTTTCGCATATATTTTCCCGCGCCACTATTAGAACCCTAGGTTCTGCACCTAGACCTTTTGGATAGAGCTGATGATTCAAACATCATCAAGCTAGAGCTTAAATAGAAGAGATCATCGCTTCTGGTAGAAGTTTTGTTTGACAGATTGGGGAGCTGGAATGAGGTATCCGGAATATGGCCGGAATTTTCAACCCCAAATTAAGGGACTGAACAGTGGTTCTCCGGGACTTTGGGTAGGGCATAAATCAGGTCACTACTCAAGGGTCAAGTGTTGAGCAGGGTGTTTTGTTGGCACTGTGGTTCCAATGCTCAGATACCCATCACACCTCCCGGCTTTTCTGATGATCGTACTGCATGGGGTGCCGTTACCGTGAGCGGAGGCCCTCCATCTTGTAATCTCCACACATAAACTGAGGGGAGAATATGGGAGCGGGGCAAAATCCTGCGGAGATAGAACTTGACTGGAAAGTTATATATCACCTGGCGCAAATCCTGCCATAGCGTTGTTGGGTAAGCCAACAAATCAGTAGCTTGCAATTAAGCCGTTGATACCTAGCTGGATATACTGCGCACATGTCTGGCATCACGGACTCGGCTTTTTGCCTCCTGTTTTTCAAGGTCTGCGTTGAGCCTCAGCAATAGAATTTAGGCTTTGTGGGACTCGTGGAAATTTTGTCCGCAGGCATCAAAAGGTCCAGCCACATAAATGCCACTACGACGACAACACATCTCAAACCTGTCGGGTGAACGGGCACTTCGTTTATGCAAGATAAACGAGCAACTTCAATAGCAGGCCCCTTGGAGCTATGGTTGTCCTTCCCCTGGAGTAAACCATACCATAACGTTGATAAAGGTATATAAACATGTGGTGTCCTCTTTTTTGATATGTACGGCAAAGTTATGTGAATTTCCAAAATGGTCCGTGGCAATCAACCTTATCTACCGGTTGCAACCTTAGATGCTTGTGAGAAATTAAAAACTCTCTTGGATCGGGTAATTGGGAGACAAACCCCAATATGACGCCCTGCCGGTGGATTTTCATTTGTTGATGAGGCCTGTGTGGATTCCAGCCAATCCAGACCGAGCGCCGAAAGAAACCCTGAGAAATCGAAATCTCTAGTAAAGTGTATGGAGAAGTTAGCAGTACAACGTCTCTCTGGGACAACCTCGTCTTCTCCACAGCCCGGAGAGCAAGGCTTCGCCATTCGTCGTGTAATTCGAAATGCGGTGAAGAAAGTCTACCCTTTCCCCCCAGGCCCCATTATGCAGCGTGCGGGACGAAAAACATGTAGCTACTCCGCCAACATCTCTCAGTAACCCAGTCAAAAGACAATAAAATTTTTTGGCTCTAAAGCGAAAACCGAGTCAGGATGAAAGTAAGATCCCGGATCGAAGGGGCGCTGCACCTGTGAAAACCATGTCACGAAGATATACATCGTAAAGGCGGATCTTCAAACTGAGGTGGCATCGATCCAGTTGTTGCCTGTGACCGATGACGTCTTTCTCAATCCTCGATGATCAAACTCCCATCCCAAACGCTTGCCCCTTGTTGAGAGGAGCAACGCCATAAATCTTAATTTTTTACATGGCCCACAAAGAAAGGTCTAGGGTCAACGTGTCTGCGTCATGAATCAGGACCCGTTCAATTCGAATGAGGTTGGAGTAAAGAAGGAAACCTTTGAAAAATCTTCTCGGAGATTGCCAAGCAGGTTTATCGAAAGAAGATGCTCCCAACGTCAGCTCTAAGAATAACCGAGGCGATCAGGTGACATAAAATTGGCAATACTCATTCTTCAGGGCTAGCTAGGTGGCCCTGATGCGTCCGGGCTTGATCATACCTGCATATTATTTTTTCATAGTAGTCGCTTGTCGCAAAGATTGAAAGTCAATAACTCAAGATCGTGAGAAGGTTGGCCATTGAGTACCGAGAAGGCTTGATGACAGTAGCATCATTGTCGCAACATAAACGGGAGTATAGTAGACTGCCACGACTCGCAAATTTTCCGCGGCATTTCTGATAAACACTGAGCCGATGTCTTGCGGTCCAAACAGATCAAGGATCCATAGGAATGGCGAGCATCTTCCTCGCCCTCCTTTCGTCAACTTGGAAAGCTAACTGGTAGAAAATGTTTTCCAGGGGCATTTGGGCACCCATTTTAAGATATAACGTAGACCTTCGCTGTCGTATAAATTGTGAAAGGTAAAGGTTATCCATCTCATCAAAATAATATCGTAGTATCACAATCCTTTAAACCTGGATACCATACCCTAGAAACGGCTGTTATATATCTTCCTGCAAGGCGAGGAATTCCTCGCTATTTCAGGGTGGTTTTCGCAAAGTCCAGGAAAAATGACGTACAGCGTCCTGTTCCACGGCCAATTTAAAACTTATACTGATGTCTCTGGAATTCGAATAGTGATCCCCGCTCAGGAACTATCGAGCTGGACGGCAGCTTTTTGGAAACATTGACCTTCGAGGGCCGGGAGTTCCAGAAACATGCAGTCGAAAATGAAATTTACTATGGCCCTATCGATGATGTATGTGTTTCTGAGCCATTTTCTGTGGTGACTAACTCCAAAATAGGAAGAGATCGATCGATTAGACCTCCAACATCGAGTGCTGAGCGGTGTCTTCGATCACCGCCTTATATTCCCTCCGCTGGAGAGCCTTGACAAGGTCCTCGACTGCGGATATGGATCTGGGGCGTGGGCGGTGGAAGTTGCAGAGCAATACGAAACTTGCGACGTAAGCAAATTCCCGACCTCATCTGGTATACGGCCATTAACCTTGAGAACTTAAAGGTAATAGGAGTGGATGTTTCGCCGCATATGAGGCCGGATGATACCCCCGATAACCTATGGCTGCAGGTAATTCTCCCTCTGGGTGCCAGGTCGCTTTAAACCTATCGCGTTTTCACAAACTGCAGTCCTACCACAATGCGATCCGCACTTATTTTATGCAGGCAGCTCGTCAGGCTGGGCTCCCCATTCTTGATCGTTAGGCTCTTTTGTCATTGTTATAAATATATATTGACTTTCTTACTGTTAACAGGTCGATGATCTAAACCGGCATTTTACCTTTGGGTATAACCAGTTTGACCTTGTTCACTCCAGGCTAGTTGCATCGGGGATAAACCAGGACAGATGGCCTAGATACCTGCGAGATATTGTCAGGTGAGCCAATCCCATCCCCGGTGCATCATATAGCAGCGCAACTAACTATCCTGGTCTGGCCGAGAACACCAGATCTCTTAAGCGTGGAGGGTGGGCTCAGATGGTTGAAATATACTTCAACATCCAATCTGATAATGGAGCCTTGACAGAAAACCATGCGCTCAGAAAATGGAGCAGTAGCTATATCAAGGCGTTGGAGGGCGTGAAAGATGTGCGAGTCGGTATGAAATTAACGAGCTTGATGACATCGGCGGGGTTGGTTGATATCGAATCGAAGATGATCCCGCTCCCTTTATCAGGATGGTCGAATGGTGAGTACTACCCCCTTCTGGGTGCTGGCCACCGCTCACGGTCATTAGACCCAAGAATGAGAGTTATTGGAGCGATGAATAGAGACAATACGCAACAATGGCTCAGCTCGTTGGCATTATATCCGTTCATGCAAAAGCTGCATATGTCTCGCGATGAGCTGAACAACATCATCACGCGTGCGCGAGAGGAGGCAGATGACCCATCCTTAAGACCATATGTTCCACTGTAGGTTTCCCTTTGCTAATGGTGAAAGCTTGTATTGACGAGACAGATACGTGTGCATCGGTCGAAAGCCGTAGGGCAGTGAGCATCCATTGACGGTTGTTCCCTTTTCAGGTTGAGCTCATTATTTTATGGATTATCGCTTTCGTATGCTGCTTTCTCCTGCAGATTATTCGATTTCGTGCGGCATTCTGCAATTTGTTATATACTCCATATAGCCTCAAAAGAATACATACTGACATTCTTGCTCAGAAATTTTGAGATCATTGAAACCTTTTGGCCACTGAGTTGGATGCTGTTTGGTAGGGTGTACTAACGTACCTGGCACCTACCACACATTCCAAAATTTCTGTTACCGGATACCAAATCCCTGATTTGTCCTCTTGAAGTTGGTCTTTTAAAATAAGAGGACGTGCAGCTGGGGAATTCATCCTGGTGAGCCGAAATAGCCGCAGCGGTCGGTTTACGAATTCAGCTTCGAGCCGCTGTTCTGAGCAATATATGAGGCTGGAAAGATGATATGGATGATTCGATTCGGCATTGGTAAAGTAGAACCAACCGTTGAAAAAATGGTTCTTCACCTATCCATTGGGCTTTCATGAAGGGTCGGATTGCCAGCGAAACCAAAGACCTACCTGATAACGTTTTTATTTAGCATCAACGTATCATCCATCAAAGTAAGGCCTTGATGCTGACAAAACAAATACTACTTAAGCCGATGGAAGCGAGGACGAGACCAGCACTCATTTTTGGATTCTTGAGTCTAGGATACCTCCGAGCTCAGGAGGCGTGGAAAGCAAATTCGATAACGACAAACGCAGAGGCATAAACAAATAAGAAAAAGTACAGGCTGAGAAGCTTAGTGCACACACGGGGTCGTGCTATGCACTCAACCTCTGACGTCTGGGAGTGAGATGAACGGAAGATCGTTGCTCAGGCTCAGAAAACAATAGGTGAGGTTGTGGCGATTGGGACAGCGGGACGTGTGACTTGGCCGCCATCAACTAACATCAAACCAACTTACGCAAACTTCCGTGTTTCTCCTTTTAATACAGAGTAATCCCTGGAGTTGTTAGTTCATTGCTTGTTCTATCTTCTTGCTAACTGCTTGAAGACAATCCAGCTGTCTCTGGGTAGAGGATGGAATCATACTGAGTCAGGTTTTCCGCACATGGGCATTCTCTCAGCAAAGATTCTACTTATGATGAACCCACGTAAGTTCAAGCATGCCCACTTCCTCCAGCTGACCCGAAGTGGACCGCACAGAAGGTTGCTTCATCCCTCTTAAGCGCGGTAGTCAAGAATTACGGAGCACATCAGCCAGCGATGTTGACTGAGCTTGGCGGATCTTACTTGCCCGGCAATGTTAGCCCTCCACACCGTTGCCGGGTGGGGAGTGCAGTGCTACTCCTTTGAAGCACGGAAATGGCAAGTAGTGCGCAGTTTCGATACCAGGAGCTTTGGCTTGAAACAGAGCTCCTTTCAATACAACGGTATTTGCACTCCGTGTATACTCCGTACATGAATCAGTGTTTCTGACTGAACAGGAAGGCTTTCCCCAAAACTGCCTGTTAGACAAAGCGATCCGTTCTGCGGTTCACTTAATGACCCCATACAAAGGGTCTTCCGACGAGGACGCTAGTAGAATATCGATATGCCTTCGGTCCGGCTCCCCGTAGTTAGTTAGCCCCACTTAGCCGGCATTAGAACCTGGGCATTCCGAGATCCCAGATCGAGATTAACGGGCGTGTTTGGGACAGCATGCTCACCTGCAGCCAAATCTTTGCGGAATACGGAGTATAATGCCTCTGTATGAACACGCCCACCCTACACCATGAATCCACAGTATCCCTCAGATCTCTAGTTAAAAGTTCAGTCCGCTTAGTATGGAACCGGCAACGTAGTCCCTTTAAGGTTTATATTTAATCCGGTCCCAGAGATCTTCGGCTGAACTTTCCAATTCCATCAACGCACCGGTACAACTTGCCGAGATATGAAGCGGTATGGAGCGGCATAATTTCAAATCAACATGATTTTGAAGAGAGCTCCATGAAGAAGTCAAACGGAAGAGGTTTGTCTCGCGAGTGAAGATGCCATCCACACATAAGAAAGATAAACCCTGGGATACTGACGATATAGACAAATGGAAGGTTTGTTTTCAGCGCTCTCACGATTCGATATTAAGCTGCGTTGCTGATAATATCAATTGTCACAGATTGAAGAATTTAAACCAGAAGATAATGCTGGCGGGACCTTCGCCGAAGAATCTTCCTTTGTCAGCCTGTTCCCGAAATACCGGGAAGTCTATCTGAAGGAAACATGGCCGATAATAACGAGGGCATTGGAGAAACATGGAATCGCTTGTACGCTGGACTTGGTGGAGGGTAGTATGACGGTGAAAACTACACGAAAAACATACGACCCAGCGGCCATCCTCAAGGCACGAGATCTAATAAAACTGCTTGCTAGAAGTGTCCCAGCTCCACAGGTTCGTTTTGTGGACATTGCTATCCGTCCGCTATTTTTCACGCTGACGCTCCGAGTTTCTATAGGCTCTTAAAATCCTTGAAGACGGGACGGCATGCGACATCATTAAAATTCGAAATCTGGTCCGCAACAAAGAGCGATTCGTTAAACGACGCCAACGCATCCTAGGCCCTTCCGGCTCTACCTTGAAAGCACTCGAACTCCTTACAAACACATACCTCCTCGTCCAAGGCAACACTGTGGCAGCCATGGGCCCATACAAAGGCCTGAAAGAAGTCCGTCGCGTCGTCGAAGACTGCATGAACAACATCCATCCAATCTACCATATTAAGGAATTAATGATTAAGCGCGAACTTGCCAAGGACCCCAAATTGGCAAATGAAAGCTGGGATAGATTCCTCCCACATTTTAAGAAGCGAACCTTGAGTAAGAGAAAGAAGCCCTTTAAGGTCACCGATAAGTCGAAGAAGGTGTACACGCCATTCCCACCACCGCAGGAGAAGAGCAAGGTTGATTTGCAGATTGAAAGTGGCGAATATTTCTTGAGCAAGGATGCTAAGGAGCGGGCGAGAAAGGAAGAGATTATGGAACGACAGAGGGAGAAGAGGGCAGAGAAAATGAAAGAAATAGAGAAGGATTTTATTCCACCGAAAGAAGACACAGGTGAAAAGAAAAAGAAGAAACGGAAGCGCCAGGAAGACGCCACTGATAAAGCAGTGGACGGAGAGAAGAAGTCCAAAAAGCGCAAGAGTAAGGAAAAAGTCAGGACTCAAGAAGAATAGTGAGACTTATATGACTGTCGGGTTTGTATGCGGCGTACCGGTCGATATCCTAAACCAAGGGGGTGTTTGCTCTTTGTGTATTCCATATTCATAACTATTATCGAGCATCTAGCGGAACAAATATCAGAGTACATACATCCACAGTTACCAAGGACTCATCCCATGCATGCATGTATGTATGTATGTATGTATGAATGGTTGGTTCGGGATTGCTTGCTGGCTCCCAGGCTCGGTTGGGTAAGGTGTCCGCGGTTGGGAGAGACCCGCGGCAACAAAACTGCTGAGCTTCATGAACCCACCACGGCCCTTCAGCGGTGGGATACCTACGCCTGGCTGTGACACCAGGTAAGAGCCGGGGGAAAAGCAGTACCAGAGAGATACCCCAAGGTCATAGACGGGGCTCGCTTCATCCTGTTTGGTGGTCGAGACTGGATTGCTGCTTCTTGGTATATGATCTCTCAGAATTGCAGCTCACTCATCTTTCATAATGGCACTTAAGGCATGCGCGAGTTTCAATAAAACAACGCTCTCGGTGGCTGCAAAGTAATTTAAACTAACATACAATGGTTAGTAGAACAATAAATGTCATGAAATCGAGACCATACCTATCCATTAATATTCTGAGATGTCTACCAAAATGGTCCTCATACCGCTTCAAAGTATCTTCCAACTTTGCTAAGCGAGCAGGATCATACGACCTTGAAGACTCAAGCCCGGGGGTCTGCTTTGCATTGTTCCCTGACAGATCTGGGTCAGCCGCAGCAAGGCTACGTGCAAGCGAAGAAGCCGTCCACGATGCAAACATTGTGCAACAAGTCATTAATTTCGAATGAACCTGGATTAGAACATTAGCGAGTTTTCTTCGTTTAGTATAATGTATCCGGGACTTACTTTCAACAGCTTTCCCTGTGTTAGCATACATTCTTTTAAGCAAGTATCCAAAAAGTCGACATGATCTTGCATTAGCTCATCCACAGTCCTGTTGACTTGCTTTGTTCCGTTTACCATAACCTCGGTACTTTCAGCATCATCACCGTTGACTCGGTCCATAAGAATCTGCCAATTGGGTTCTATAACTTCGGCCGTGCAGAAATATAATAACTGTTGCACAAATACGAGCATTCGGGCTCGCAACGCCCAAGCTTTTCTCTTCCATAATTCCACTCTTCTATCCGAAGATTTATGCGTCCAGCTGACAACCTTGATATGGTCTTGCCAGCAGTTAACAAGTAAAGATTCAAGGTACCGAAGGGATAGCAGATGTCGAAAAATGAGCTGGTATCGGAGGACTGTTTTGCGGCTGATAACAAGGGAAAGAGGGAAGGGAACAAGATAATCAAGCTCGAGTGCATCAAATCCAGCAATATCTTTATCATCATCTACCGCCTGAGAAGCCGGTGTCTGGTACTTTTCGGGGTTCGTCTCAGGATTATCTTGATCTATACCTGATACGCTCACAACACGCATTAGCCATTTTGTAAGGCCGACTTGATTCATTCGGACTTTAACATCTTCCTTAAATGGATCCTGAGCAGCAATACTCCCTGGCTGGCGCAAGACGATGTCAAGGAGCGATTGAAGTTTCCCTTCGTTGACAGATTTGGCGGGTTTCCGGAGTTCAGAAGCTCCCAGTTCTAAGAAGTAAGAGAAGAAATCGGAGCGGTCGAGGAAGAAATAATGCTTCAAGGACCGGAATCGAGTAGTGAGGGAGTTCTTGGTCAAGAGAAGATTGAGCAACGATGCATTTGCGTGGGTATAGGCCCCGTTTACATTATCAAGGAATCGAGGATCATCGAAGGTCTGGGGTACGTCTTTCATCTCCTTGCTGATATCCACACCACCACACTCCCTCACAACGTTGAGGTACTTTCCGGCCAGCAACACCTTATCCTTAACAGTCTCCAGCTGTGGAGGAACTTCAGTTTCACGGATTGTATAGCGTTTGTCCCAGTATTCATCAGTGTAATCTTCCTCAAGCTTATCCCGCTTGATGCCCTTTTGCTCCTTTACAAGGAACTCCGCATGTGGATCTTTGATTTCACCATGGTGCAGCCACTCGTTAAGCATTCTCATGTACGGTCTACTGGATTCTCGCAACAAAGTTTGCAGTAATACTTTGGTTGCTGGGTCTCCAGAAAATGTCGCCAGCCGCTGGGTCAAGAGTCCCAAGACATTGCCGCCCTTGCAAAATTTCTTGTTGGACATGCCTCCGGGCGCTAGATCTCCACCTTCTCTTAGTTGCTCTAAGATATTCTCAACATCATCAAAGTCGTCAATTGACTCGTCTGGATCTTGCGCCAGAAGGGAATTTCTTTTTAGTAGTTCTTGGCCAAAGGAGTATAGCTGAGCTAGGCTTTGCGCGGTGGGCATCGTATGGAGATGAAGCACATGCAATGTAAAGTTCGGGTTGTTAAGGAGCTGGCTTTCCAATTGGGCAATAAGAATAAGATAATCTTTGAGTAGTTTGCGGATTGCTGCGCATAATGCATGATTCACGGCACCGAATTCTGCCCTGCTCTGGACTTCCACGAACGCCTCCATAGCACTGTAATGGGTTGCCATTTTTAGCATCCCCATAGTCAGATCCCTTAGGCTAGGATCTAGCCCGGGCATTATTTGGTACGAAGGCCCAACTAGACGATCTGATTCCAGCTCGGGATTATACGTGTTCGCGAAATGAATGTATTCACCTTCATAACCCATGAAGACGAAAAGAAGATCTTGCAAAATTGCAGCTTCTTGGGCGTCCATACTAAGTTCCTTCAATGGTTTTGGACGTAGTCTTTGAGGAACTGTTGAGGAAAGGGGTGGAACGGAGACACGGCAAGATAGAGGCGCCGCCGAGTGAGGTATGAGGGATACCTTCGGGATCCATGGGGCTGTATGAGTTGTTTGGATGAGCATGATAACCAGGAGAATTGGATAGTAGGCTGGGCCAACCTTCATTTAGTTCCTTCTCCTTCGCTTTAGCCACTGGGCTGCCTGCATTCGTTTTGGTCCTCGACCGATCCCAATCTCTATTCGCTGAACTCGCAGTCTCTCTGGTCGGACGCTTTGTTCTCACTTGCACCTTTTCCCGAGTTGTCGTATGCGACCTCTCCGTGCGTAGCTCACTCGGCGCCCTGGAATCTCTTTCTCTAGTTGATGTCTTAAGTCCTGGGACCATGTCACTTCCCAATGGGACATTTTCTTTGGATGCAACGCGTTCATGTCGCGAAGCACTAGCATTATATGCGCGGCTTGAGGAGACCACTCGAGGCTTGATTCCACCTTGGCTGGTCCCACGACCATGAACCGGTGGCGTTCTCACATTTGAAGGTGAAGGCATTATAACCGGCCAGCAACGGACTCAGACGATCGGGCATGGCGGCCGAGGGCAACCTTCGTTGGTGCCGTGAGCGCGTTGTGGCCTCCATCGGGTTGGATTGATTGGGTTGAGCCTAATTGGGTTTAGCGCGGGCTCTGATAGGCACTCTCCGTTTGCGTAGTCAACGAGCGACTGAGCTGTAGCTCCAAGCTCTCTTCCCCATAGCTCGACGTCCTCAAAAATCAATATACCCTCTCGCGTACTCCATCTAGCCATTTATTTCGCTACGATATATCAACTTATTTCTATCTTCTCTCCATTTAACCCGCCGCCACAATGTTTATCGCGCGATCTGAATATGGTAAGCCACCCCCAACTCCGGGTGCGACACTGGTAACTAACCAACTCCTACAGATCGTGGCATCAAGTAAGTTAATGTTGATACGTGCGGCTGCCGGTTCTCGAAACTTATCAATGAGCGCTTCAGCACATTTTCCCCAGAAGGCCGTCTTTTCCAGGTCGAATACTCATTGGAAGCCATCAAGCTTGGTTCGACTGCAATTGGAGTACGTCTTACCAAGTATCTGGGTCTTACAGGAAGCGCTCTCTAACCTTTTGCAGGTAGCGACATCAGAAGGTGTAGTTTTAGGTGTTGAGAAACGAGTTACATCTACCCTCCTAGAAACCTCCTCCGTCGAAAAGATTGTCGAGATAGACCGTCACATAGGTTGTGCTATGTCTGGTTTACAGGCCGATGCCCGATCGATGATCGAACACGCCCGCGTGGAAAGTCAAAACCATGAATTTCACTACAAAGAACCCCTCCGAGTCGAAAGCTGTACGCAGGCCATTTGCGATCTGGCTTTGAGGTTTGGAGAGGGGGCAGATGGAGAGGAGAGCGTGATGAGTAGGCCTTTCGGAGTTGCCCTTCTCATCGCAGGTTATGACGAAGATGGACCACAATTGTAAGATTATTGTGGAAGCTAACGGAGGTAGAAGAGACTAACTGTATTGTAGATATCACGCAGAACCTTCTGGCACATTCTACCGCTATGATGCCAAAGCCATAGGTTCCGGCAGCGAAGGTGCCCAGGCCGAACTGCAGAATGAATATCATCGGTCCCTGACACTGGCGGAGGCAGAGACACTAGTGTTAAAGACCCTGAAACAGGTCATGGAAGAGAAGCTGGATGCGAAAAATGTACAACTGGCCAGTGTGACGAAAGAAAAAGGATTCCGCATTTATGACGAGGAGGATATGGCTAGAGTAGTCTCTACATTGGGAGAAAACTAGCGGCACCTATAAGCAGCCTATCGTCTTGGTAGACTAATAGATAGACCACTTTGATCGAGAAAGGACCGCTTTTCCTCAAACCGCCTTATGGCTTTGTCATGCTAAACCCCATGGTCCTCCGGTTCTACCTGATCTTGTAAACACACGGTTTCAACACCTTAGCTTCTTCCTCCGGAGTTAGCGTGCTATCTTCAGGCTCAAGAAACCTCTTCTTAGCCGCTTTCCCTGCACCCCCCCCGCCAGCCCATTTCCCCTTTGTCGGCACTCCATGCTTGACAAACTCCATTTTGACAAACATCTTATTTGACTTATCCACTGACTGCGGCTTCAAAATAAAACCTCTTGTCCTGAACACTTCCACAAACGCAGATATGTCAGTTTCATCGTCATCATTTGGGTTTGCACGCACGTCTTCGGCAAATATTTCATCGCCAACATCGTCCTCATCGTCGTCTGTCTCCTTGCGCCTCTTCTTCGTCTTATTTTTACTCCATGCAGGAGGCTTAGAAGCCTGTTTACTCTTCTTGGTCACTTTTCCAAACCGACTCTTGACCTCACTGACCCAGCATTCACCCTTGCCGTCTCCCCTCAGAACTCTCCAGGCCTCTTCGACGAAAGACACCCAATTCGTCCCCATTAAACTGAGGCAGAAAATTGTGACATCGACTGTGCCATCCTCAAGCGGGAGGGATGAGATATCCGCTTTCGTAATAAGAGGGTCACCTTCGTGAAGGTCATAGCTAAGTATCTTCATCTTCATTTTTTTCGACACAGGGGTAAGTGCACGCGAAAATTGCGCATCGCCGCAGCCCAGGTCCGCGATAGTGCATAGGCCATTTGGGCGCCTTGGCAGTGGAGTTGGCCCTCCAGGCCTTTCGGGCTTCTTATGTCCCTTGGACGGAGGTCGGATAGGCCCTCTGGTTCTCACGGAGAGGATATAATCGTCCACGGGATTTGATGGCCAGGATTCTTTCACCTGACGTGAAAATCCAGCATGGTACTCAGAGAAAAGTTCTGGGTTCGCGGTGAAGAGCTCTAGCGCCTGGGTCGAGGGAGTTGTATAGAGTGTTTCATTGAGGTGACGGAACCGCGCGGATACCAATTTATCTCGCATGGCCTTTTGCAAAGGCGTCAAGTTAGATTCTGACGTCGAGGGGGGCAGACTTGCGACAGAAGTAGACGGTTTGTTTTTGGCGTTCATGGAATTTTCCACCCGCTCGGTCTGTTTTCGTTTCTTTCGAGGAAGCTCTGAGGCTTCATCGGCAATTTCATCACCATTAAGCCTCGTGGACTTCGACTTCCCATCTCTGCGTTCGGTGCTCGGTGCATCGGCTTGAGCAGTGTAGTTCTCGGTATCGCGCTTTGTATTCTCCAATTTCTTTTCCTTCTTTTTCTGCTTTCTGGATTTTGTTCCGACAGCACTTCTTTCCTTTGTGTCCTGGCCTTCAATATGCCTTCTCCACATCTCATCCACATTCGCTTTCGTAACCTTGTCCTCCGTGCCATGCTTCCGCTTCCGCTTCTTGGACCGCGAAGTATTGTCAGGCCTATTGTCAGCCGCGGGAGTATGTGAAGCAGGAGTTTCTTGCTCTGTCTGTGGCTTCAATTCGGCCACAGAGACCGACCATCCCGGCACAGCAAACATCCCTAATTCGCTTACAGAACAATATTGTGCGGTACAAGGACAATTTCAGCCTGTACGCAGAAGTGCCGGCAAGTAATGCCCAATGCACGCAAAGGAAAAACAGCCTAGGCCGTCAAAAACCAGCCAAGAACATAGCTAAAGCAAAATTGTAGTGTGCTATGAGCTCATTTCCACTCTCCAGTGCTATTTCAAGCAAAAGAAAAAAAAGGGCGACGGCAGCTTCCTCGGAGACGATAGAACATTTCTCCGGGAGTTAGCTTTGGAACTGACCCCGAACCTTCTTGGATGGTGGCCATTTAACTTAGCCAGGCCCCAGCCGAGACATCTCACTATAGACCCTTTCACGACGGCGGGCTTTACTTCTCAGCTCACTGGATCTCATTCCGACCTGTCTTTGTCAATTATACGCTGCTTACCTCAAGCGTTGCATTGAGCGGATATACGGTGTGGATGATCGGATCTAGTGGCCTAGCAATTCTACAAAAATTGACCTCGTCCATTGTATCTGATTCTCTCCCCTCACTTTGAACTCCAGATTCCCCGGAAGCTGCAACAGTACGGGTCAAGGGTAGCTACATAGTCCACATAAGGTGAAGATGGAACAAAATGACAGCCTTGCAAAAGTCACGATCTGTGCATTGCCCAACGAGGTGAACGCGGATTGGCCCGGTACCAGCACCATGGGCGCCAGCAGGACTGGGGCTAAGTTGTCTTTCTAGATCCTTTACTGCATCCTAGAGCACCTGTGGACAGAAGAGATAGTCCATCTGTCCACAGTTTCTCGACGGTTTTATGCGGTCGTCGCCAGCACGGTGCGTCAACGTCTTTGTACCATGGTAGGCCTGGAAAAGCTTTGGGTCGGCCTCATATACTATCCCCCGCAACAAGGCTTCAGCTCGTTGCTCTTCTGCCGGTACCTCGGCAAGAGAACACTGGAAGGAACATACCACAAAGGAGAACTGTACACCGATAGCCGTCAATTCACCATGGGTTACTCACGGTTTTGCCCTGAGCCCCAAAAGAGGGCCGGTAAGGAGAACACAGATGCATCGACCAACCATGAGGAACATAGCGCTCAGGGTTCATCTGAGGAGCCTTCTGCCGCCGTCCCCAGGCCCTTTGTGAGATGGCTTACCACTCTAGATGATTTCGAGCCGTTTTCTCAGCTTTGCGTTGACACTCATCTCTTCTGGAAGTATGCCGATTCGCAATGGAAAACAAATCAGGCGCATATTGAAGACGGGACGGCGAGGTTCTGGCGCAAGTGGCTGGATGATCAGCTGGAGGCACATTACTCTCATCCGCCAACTGACGAGCCGCAAGTGCTTGATAATTTCGACACGGCATGTTCAACGGAGTCCGATCCCGAAGGAGAGCGGATCATTTGGGTAGGAACGAATGAGGACATTGGCTTGAAGCTCCGGGTGATGGATAAAGCCCAGGATGATCCCTTCGGGGAATCGGCAAGTTATGAGCTGCTGTTTGAAGGTAAGCATTGCCATCATGTATTCGCTACCGATGGGGCGTGTAGTTGCGGGGTTTACAGGGCTATCACCTGATCCTATTACTAGAGATCCTTATTCGAAACAACCGATTGCTCCTTGCTCTCGAGCGTACCCAAAAAGCAACCGAACGGTTCATACGCGATACCTACCGTTACTTTTCGTTGAACAGCAGCCTTGGGCCTCCAGGCCATGCGGGAAACTATCTGGTCCCATACATTTGATAGAGATTTATCCTCGCAGCATATGACAAATCGATTGAATAGATTATCTCGGTTTGATGGGCGTAAAAATAGGCCAGCTCAGCCCCCCCATAGCGTCTCCCAGGCCCATTTCAGGGCTTAACAATCTTTCTCCTTTTCGTAACATAATATGTTGGACAGCGCGGCGAGGTGTTGGTGTTTTGAAACTCCATCACGGCTGCGAGTCATTTGTAATACTGTGAGAGCTTTGGGTAGTTATCCGGCGTTGCGCTCTCCTCGTTTTGGCCAGTTCCACAGATTGCACTAATGGAACGGCAAAAGTTTTTGTCATATTTGAGGCACAGGATTTCCGTTTCTGCTTGAGACCCATTTCAAAATCCAGAGCTAGAGGTTGTCGCTGTTTGCGAATTTCTGTTGGCGCCTTGGTCACGTTCCCCCGCCCCAGGCAGACACCATCGAGGTGTTGGGTAGCCGTGGTGGAAAAACGGTGCACATGCAAAGCGAAAGCAGGAAACCCAAAAACCTCCTGGGTGTCTCAATTTCAACTGTCCTACCGCATTGCTGGAAAAGCAAAAAATTAAGGGAAAAGGAAAAAAATAAAAATAAAAATAAAAATAAAGAAAACAAAGCTACCAACAGAGAGATCTTCCCAAAGAGAAATAAAAGTATTCGCGATGTCCCATCCCCAGGATGACAAAGATGTTCTCAATTCGAGTTTTAACCGCTGGATCAGTTAACTAGAGTAACATGGACATACACTATAAGCCAATACAGAGGCCAAAGTATGGCATTTGGGGATCGTGCACAGAAGCACTGTTAAACTGATTGATGAATCTGCGCGCCACATAGCATGCATTCGAAGCCTCATGATGCAGACACCTTCAGCGCCTCCTCTCCAGTAAACTAGGAAAAGAGCAACATTCCATACTTGCGTTCCCCATCCCAGCTACCCAATAAACCACCTTGGACATCACTGCCTAGGTACTCCGTATTGAGAATCTTGTGGCTGCCGGGCGCTGGAGGCTCGAGTGGAGCAACAGGGAGCAAGGGATGAGACAGGAGTTTGAGAAAAGAAAACAACGATTGGTGAAGGACCCCCTGAGAATCAACCAGCTTGCACTCATCCGGCACCGGGAAGGAGGCAACATTCAGAACTGGAAGAAACAGAAAACATTGCGGAAGACAGGGAGAATTCTGGTTGGGCATTGAAAAGCGTCCGGGATAGCTGGCGCGGTGGGATTTGTCGCTTGTGGTGGGGATGGCAGCGGAACAGTGACGCCGGGTGTGTGTCAGTAGACGCTGACTGGGCGATGCCCTGCGAGCGAATCGTCCCGAAGCTCTGTGGATATATATAGATGGAAGAAATAACTCCGTCGGCAGAGGAGCATTCAAATAGTATCTACCTCCTCTCTTCTCTGGCAGAAGAAGAAGGAGAAAAAAAGAAAAAGAAAAAAGCCTGGGAGGCTTCGCTGAGGAGAAGAGCGGCGGAATTTGTTTATTTTTATCCCTTTTTAACCAGCTAACTAACTATTAAGTTAACTAACCTAATTTCTAATCCCTTTTTTGCTCCGCTGCCAATCCCGTGTCCGTGTCGTCATCGCGGCTCGACCGAACAAGTTGTTGACTTGCTGACCCTCTCCGCCTCCGCCAAAAATATAACCGAGATCACACGCACAGCATTCTGGCAGCTGGGCTGTTTCTGCTTTTTTTTTTTTTTTTTTCACGTTTCTTGCTTCTTGATCGTTGACCTTAATTGTCCTCATCGTCACCTCATCGCCTCCTCCGTTTATATATATAACTAGTGCACCTCGGACACCCTGAACGCCGGCTCCCCCACCAAAGCGGAGTACCCAAGGAACAGACAACGGTTTTAACTCCATACCCGCTGAGAATCCACGGATCGCGCCTCGAAGCTACCGCTCGCGTATACTGTTCTGAAGTATAGTCCAGGCCGGGGGCTATAAGGAACTGCCTACATGTATCGCTACGGGGACACTGCGTCCTCCACCACCGGGAGCTCTATCAGTGGCGGTGGTGGTCGGTGGGACGCAGAACGCTTCATGCGGGAGCGCAGCGAGCGACACGAGCCCACACGCCGCGAACGCCACACCGCTGTAGAAGTCATTGAACGCGACCGCGTAGAAAAAAGGGTCCCGTCTTTTGTCGAGGATTATCTTAATGCACAAGAGAAATATGGCCCTCCAGCCCGGCGACCAGACCGCGAGTATGCAGATGACCATCTGCTCTCCAGCGCCGACGCCCTCATCCCCTACAAAGAACGTCGCCGTGCATCTCCCTCTCCACCGCGGAAACCTAGATTGCTACGACGCCAGTCATCTCTCGATACCTTCGATCGCGCCGCAACCCGCTTTGCGAACGACTATTATCAGTATGACCGCGATGACTACGGCCCGCCAGTCGTCCCCAGAGCTGCTTCCCGAAGACACTCCCCTCCATCAGAGCCGGACTTCGAAGCGATCCGGGTTTCCGAACCCGACTATTATGGGGACGAAGAGTTCCACAGGATGCGAGATAGGGTTCGAAGCGTTACTCCCCGTGGACGATACTCGGTGCGCGAAGAGATACGAAAGGAAAAGGTTGACCGTCCCTATCCCCGTCGTGGAAAGACCAGGGTCCCCAAGCACTTGGTGCATCCTGGCGTTCTTCTCGACCTGGGCTACAAGTTCGAAGAAGAGGTATGATATTGATTAATTTTGGGGCCAGGGAGATATAATCTCTAACTCACGAATATAGGGTGACAACATCATAATTCTGCAGGCGCTTGGAAAAGAGAATATTGACGAGCTGGTCAGCTTCAGCAGGGAGGTTCGTCGAAAGACTCGTGGTAAGACTCCGAAGAGCATGGGCACCCCGCGGGTTTCCCCGCCGCTAACCCTTTCTAAATAGTCGAAGAGGTAAAAGGACAACAAAGGCTCGTATCTCGAAGTCGCCGTGAGACGGTCTCTGTCGAGAGAACGCGGTCCAAATCCCGCCGAAGAAGTTCGAGTGTTATTCGTCCCAAAGCCGAGTTTCTCGAGGTTCGTGAGACTCGACAAACACGGCGAGTTTCACCGTCCCCGGCTCCGGCGCCGACGCTCCAGCCTCGTCGCCGGCGTCTGTCGTCTCCAATCCGAGTTATTCAGCCCCGTGAGAGATTCGTCGAGGAAATCATCCAGCCAAATACTGACGTTGCACTCATCGTACCGGAGCGTCACCGACGAAGTGATCGCGAGCTACGAGCCGAGATCCACTCTTTGGAGGGAAGAAGACTCCTCACTGAGCATGAATCCATCGCACCGGGTGATGTTATCGAGGTTCGGCGTGACCATAAAGGTGAGTGACGCAATCCTCTCATTCCATAATTGTTGGATGAAACCTAACATATTGGCCATGAAGGCCCGAGCCAACGCCTGATCCGTGCTATGATGGCAACCCTTACTTGAACGACGAAAGAAGCCACGGTTTGGTATCTTCTATTATACATACGCTGTACCTTATACTGCAGATAGCACTCTTGTTGGTCAATCCGTATCCATACCCAAGGCCTAACAAAGAAAAGACATCGTGGAGAAATAGGAGTCTATGCTCACGCAAGCTGCCTTGCAATGTTTTATCCCAACGTCCAAGTTCTATGACTTTTTGCATACTCTTTGCTATATTATGATCCATGGTGGATAATCGGATTGTATTATCAAATTGGCATCTTGTTTTGTTAGTTGTCATTTCTGTCTCTGCATTTATGCCGGTCATATTTTGCTCATACCCCGTCTCCATAGTTTGTTCGCAGGGGTTTTGTTTTGCTTTTCTTTGGATTCGAGAGGTTACTTGGGACTTGAAAGACTTAGGATTAATAGATAGGGATGCTTTATTTTCCAAGAGAGGGATCACATCTGCCCCAAAATCACGGGCTTTTTCAATAGAAGTCAAAAAATCATCGATGTGCTTGTGCGAAATATCAGCTAGCACTCTTCGAAGACCACGACGGGAAGGAATTCCGGTGTAGACCTATGTGATAACGTAAGAGAAGCCATCCATCCAGCAAATCTTTGCAGCATTCTTAACCTTCTTTTCGGCGAGTCTTTGAGTCCTGAAACACCATATTTTTCTGCGACTTGATACACGTTCGCATGAAAGAGCATAGATGAGACAGCCACCACGGCTGTCATAGTCTAATCCATACATAAAACGAACCATTACCTCAATAGCGCGAGCGTCGCGTCGGGGTTCTACGATGTTCTCATGTGTTTCCTGACAGTTAAATATCAAGGTAACTATAACCTCAGCTTTGAATCTTGGAACATTTTGGACTCATTTTCCAGTCACTGTTGAACATATGAAAGAAAAATATCAGATTGAGAGCAGACCATTATCCTGTGGACCTTGAACTCACCTTCAGCGTCAGGATAACAAGTCTGAGAATTTCGACGAACAAAAACATCTAGGCTTCTCCATTTTTTCCGCTGTATGAAATCGTTTTGGTCGTTGTGGGAGTGTGGGATTGCTTTCGACATGGGTTGGGGCGCTTTCTCATCCTAACTGCCCGTCTTCTCGTCCCATACTTTTCGTTCTCCTCGTCCTAGCTTTCTATCTAGAGAGCCGGCTGGGGCGAACGGCGTCCTCCGTAATGAATGAAGTCGTGCGGGTTGAAGGGGTAAATGGTTTGACGAGTGCAAACTATATATGGTTGTCAACAACAAAACTAAACCGTGGGATATCTCAGCCTGGCGCTCTCGTCCCATGAATTAGCGCCAGAGAGGGTTGCATCCAGTCTTCCCGCAGGCTGCGCCGCGGCGGAAAGGGTGCCTTGTGATTGTGTAAAATGGAGCAGGGAGGCTGCCTCCGCTGGTTGTGCACCTTTCCCTCTCTCTCTGTCAGAGAACGCAGGAGCCGAGTTACCGGACGGACCTTGGGGATACAGTATTATCTGGCATCATTTTGCGACTCACAAGTGCGGAGGGAGGCAGCCCAGGAATATTACTGGTCAGATGTACAGGGAAAGGCGAATGGCAAGGTCAGCAAGGTTCAGTCTCTTTGGGGGAGGGGAAGAGAATGGCGAGCCAGAACGGGTCGAAGGCAAAGAAATCCGATTGGAGTTCATGTAGCAGGCAATGCATGAGCTTTTCCTGGTGCAGGAAGCCGTGGGGAACGAACCGAACCCAGAAACCTGTGAGAGGAGGGCAACTGAAGCACGGAAGCCACCGCAGAGAAGTCCCCCTCTGCTTGTGGATAAGGACGGTTCGTGGATCGTGGGGGATATTGAAGCAGGGGATCAGGTAATGTCTTGTCTAAGTAGACAGTTGGTGAGTATGGCGAAGTGCTCAGGACATGTGCATGTATAGAGAATGTAGGCCAAGTAATAGTAGTGTAGGGAGTGCTCTAATGAACACCTAGGCATATAATGGCGATCACACTAATAAAGCCCATAATGTACGCTTACATTACAATCAATCCATACACTATATCAAGACTTGAGACTTGTCTCTAAGTTCCTCACCATCCACCTCAACTCGGACTCAAGTGCCTTGTTAATCCTGTCCTGTCTCACATCTACCTTCTTCTTTGTTTCTTCACCAGGACCATCATTTCTCCTTATTCTCCTCTTTCTCCTCTGGTTTGGGGATGTGTCTCCCAGCGGCGCTCGTTCACAACGCAGAATCCCCGCCCTTTCAAAATCAATGACCAGGATGCTCTTGCTCTCCTCAGTCCAGAACATATTTCTCAGTTCTATATCACGGTGGAGCACACCCAGGGCGTGAATGGCCCGCAATGACTTCAATGCCGCAGAAATAACTTGCTCCTTTAGAGCACCACAATCAAAGGTATCAGTGCCTGCATGGGCAAGAAGTAAAAAGTGCGGAATGTACGCAATACCATCATAGCACATGGGCTGTTTAGAGACATCAATTGTGCCGAGACACACAGGGACATGTACGCCCTGTATTGGCTGCAGTTGGTCATAGACTGCCTTTTCATGTCTGAGGTAGCGATGAAATTCCCGGGGGAAGCCCTTTCCCACAAATGTATATCCATATTGGAGAAGGTCAACTTCAAACAGTGCGCCACGAGCACCGTGTGTGTGCAGCGATTCACAGCCTAGCGGGGTCCAGGGGTTTACTGGTTCCTGTTGAATCTGTGCCTCGAGAAGGGCGATGAACGTGGCGTGGTCAATCCTATGATTGTCTGTTCCATGTTCCTCAACATTTGGGCAGCCACGGTCCAGCAGCCCACCATTCACGAGTCCAAGCAAGCATTTTTGCGTGCAGTATCGCCGAGTTCCATCCTTGCACACGGGGCCCTTGTAGGGTGATGCCCAGTCAGGTGGAGGAGGTGGCACAACCATGACGTTTGAGGGCCAGTGAGGTCGTTGACTGGGTGAATCGGAATCAGGTCCACTGTCATCGTCATCTTTGTCGCTACTGCCTGGCAATGCAGTAGTTGCTTTGCAGGTCAGTCGAGCGCTCTTCGATCGGGTGCGCACAGGTGTCCTCTGGATAAACATCTGCGCACTCTTTAGGGGCTCATAGGGTGGGGATGATTTCACAGCTTTTGCTGGAGTTGGTGTTTGTGAATCTTCTTCTGAAATCACCCACACTTTCAACTGCTTCTCCGCCCAAGTTCGCCAGTTTTGATTATGTGGGGAAGTCTGTATTGCCTGCAGTGCAAAAGCAAGGACCTGTCCAACTGCTGTCATATGCAGTCTGTTGTCACTGTCAAGCTCTCCGGTAAAACCAGTAATCTCGCCCACATCTTGCTCAGGGACCGAAAGATAATAGTAAACAGTCCCTGGGTCTTCCGCATTGGAATGGAGGAAGATAAATGCTTCACCGGTACTCACATAGCCATACTCGACACCGGCCTTGATCATGTAGGAAAAGGCTTGCGTAATGACTGCAGCTACCAGACGACAATATTGAATTTCACTTGTGTCATTAGAATGACACTCGACTATGTCGTCAAGATCCATGTCCTGAAGCCCAGCTTGAATAACCGCCAGTGGGAGTTTGTGTGGCGGTTTGAGTTCACCAATTAATGCTGGCCTTTTGACCTTCTCGCCCTCGTTGTATACGCAAAACTCATCCGCCAGAGGTCGGGCAGAGGTCGGAGGGGTGTTTGGCGTCGCAGCCCCTCCAGTTCCTTTCCGGAGCTTTGATGGGCGAGCAACAACTTCCTCCCCCTCCCCCTCCCCTTCGCCATCACTAAGGGTATTGGCGTGGTTCTCAAAGGCTACATGTCCCTGAAGATTGAACGCCTGTCGGAGTCGCTCATTCTTATAGAGGGCTTCAATAACCGACCCTACAGGTGCTGTAACGGCATCCCGTTGGAAATGGCGAAGGTCGGGCTCCGAACGAATCGTTTTTCGCATGTTCTCTCCTATAGTCATCAATCCATGCAAGGAGCTGAAATGACGCTGGGTGACAAGATCGTCACCAACCAGTTGGTCCCAGATTGCCGTCTGTGCTTCGGCGAATGGGACCCACTCCCGGATGCGGTCAGGGCGGAGTTTGCCATCAGCGTTGTTGGCACTGCCTTTAGTGGAACGTTTAGGCTGCCCTGGGACAAGGCCGAGGAAGAGATGGGTGTGGCAGGCATCAAGATATTCGGGGAGCGTTGAGCGCCGCGTCTTTTCCTCTGCCGCACGTTGAACTTGCTCTGCCGCACGTTGAGCTTGCTCTGCCGCACGTTGAGCTTGCTCTGCCTCCCATTGAGCTTGCTCTGCCTCCCGTTGACCTTGCTCTGCCGCCAGTCGACGATTTTGCTCATACTCTAAAAGCCGGCGCAGCTCCTGAACCTCATCGTCGGCCATTGCAACGGCAAATAAAAATGTTCAGTAAAATAGACACAAAGGCTCAGTGCAATAGACATGTTACTGAAGCCATGAAGAGAATGTTGTTGTTGGAACTATGTAACTAGTTCATCACCCAGGTTGCTGCCTGGCTAGCCAAGTGCCCCACCCGACCCGTCGGAATATGAGTCACGTGATAGAAATGGTCACAACCTTAAAAGGCTAGGAGTGCCGGTCAGCTGACGACGATCTAGCTCGAAATGGAGAGTTTCTCCGAGTCCACCGCTGACGCTGTTTCTGGAAACAGCGGCTTCGAACCCTCGTAAACAGTCCTGTGATCATCACACCGCATCTCTCAAGCAATAAGTCCAGACTCTCCCTTTGTCGTGGTCTGTTGAGCTCATTATATTGGTGCCTCCCATCCTCCTGTTCCCTTTACTTCTCCGCAGCATCTTTGGAAACCAGACAATAGGAAATAGCTATGGATAAAGTACAAGCTTTTGGGAAGAACTTCAGGTACACTTCACAAGCTTCATTTGCAATGATTGCCTCACCACAAGTGAGCTCTGACGACCTTTACTGATCCACGATGAGTTGGGACTTATTGTAGTGCAACGTTCTCTCCCTTCGCCGCTCGCACACAGCAGTTTGTCAAGGAACAGCTCGGCCAAGCTGAAGACAAGGTATTTGCCTTCCCCACTCTCTTATGGAGTCATAGCTGCTGGGATGGAAGCGGTTGAGGATCAAAGGCCAATTGAGCTAACATATCGTTTTTACTATGCCTATCAGACTCAGCTTCCGGATGACTACACTGAGCTTGAGAAGCGCGTCGATGCCTTGAAATCGGTGCATCAAAAGCTCCTTCAGGTGACGTAAGTGCTTCACATCGCGTCGATTGTTCATGCTCCGAAGTCGATACCAGTCGAGCTGACTTCGCACCCCGTAGGTCTCAATACTCTAACGAGGCTTACGATTACCCTCCGAATATTCGGGAGTCCTTCAACGATCTCGGCCGCACGATCAGTGAGAAAGTCCAGCTACTCTCTCACGCCACTTCCCCCGCCGAGGCCCAGGCCGCCCTTACCGCGCCACCTTCCGCGAAGCCACAGCCTAAGACTTTCAGTCATGCCATCGCTCGCGCTGCTCTAGCCGGCTCGCAGATGCTCTCCCAAGCTCATACAGACGCTGCCGAAGATCCTCTCGCTGTTGGCCTAGAGAAGTTTGCTCTCGCTTCGGAGAAGGTCGGGGAGGCAAGACTCACGCAAGATGCCCAGATTCAAAGCCGGTTCCTAGCGGGATGGAATACAACGCTCAACACCAATCTAATGTTTGCGACGAAAGCGCGTAGGAACGTGGAGAATTCCAGGTTGATGCTGGACTCTGTCAAGGCCAGTAAAGGTGCCTCGAGAGGAGACATTGACAATCTCACCGAGGAAGCACGTTCAGAAATCGAGCAAGCGGAAGATGAGTTTGTCGGTCAGACTGAGGAAGCCGTTGGTGTGATGAAGAATGTTAGTCGCCGTTCTCATTCCGTTTAATTTTGGAATCAAACCTAACGATATTCAGGTCCTCGACACTCCTGAACCATTGCGCAACTTAGCGGATCTGGTTGCTGCACAGTTGGAATACCACAAGAAGGCCTATGAAATTCTCAGCGAGCTGGCTCCTGTGATCGACGGTCTGCAAGTGGAGCAGGAGGTAAGATGCACCGTCCACAACGAACAGGATGGATGTTGACTCGAAAATTCGGAATAGGCAAACTACCGTAAGAGCCGAGAGGGAGCTTAAACTCTAGAAACCAAGCTTTATCGGTGCTTCCCTGCTTCGTTTTCGTCCTTTGCCCCGTATTCCATGGCCTTGAAACAGTCCACGTCGACAGCGAATCATTCCAGTTGACCTTTGCGCTGCTTTGGCGAAAATTACGGGCAGTTGATAACAACGAGTTGCTTCTGTAGATTGTATACTTTCTGCAATCTTATTCTTCGTCCTACGGTTGCAACGATTGTATATTTTACGGGATCCTGCAGTTTACTTGCCTTCCTTTTTTTTTTTTTATTCTATATGTATTTCTCTAGGCTTCGGTTGTTGATTATTCCCATTTGGCTATCTTTCGTCCTGCAGATGTGGCTGGTCGATCATAATAGGTCTTGTAAGGAAATCACCATGTGGTTGGTTCATGTGATCATGGCGCGCGAGGCTGTCTGAGATCAATGCATACCGTGATATTCTACCAGTATGCTCCTCGACCTTGACATTGCTTGAAAGCTTGCTCGCCTTGATTTTAATAACATTTACTATGACGGTTGCTACGTGAATTCATATCAAGTATATGGGCTATCGACCAGGATGTTAGTTGAATTATGACCAACCAAGTAGGAACATGGACACGCCAACGTGTTAACTTACGGTTGAGGGATGCCATAACTGTCAACACACAGGCCATTGCCAGAAATGATGTGACCCAAAATGGGAGAAGTACCCGATAGGGATGGGATTGCTGGCCGGTATTTCCTTGTTGCAGCCTCCTGCGCTAATACTGCATAGCCGGGAAGCTGACTCGGACAAGGAACATCTAACTAATGAGTTTAGTAGTTGGCTAAATCTTCCGGAAAATACGCAAGCATCAGACGTATATCCTCCGCCGGGAACAGGTATCCCAACAGCCCATGGGAGGGCCTCCGGCTGAGGGGCGCGCGAATTCATTGTTGTAGCCTCTTATGGATGGTCGTTCCTTGTGAGACAAGTCTCTTCTCCTCTCCAGCCTCTGTAATATCCCTACGGAGTACAACTTTTTGATACTGAGAACTGCCGGCGTTAAGCGGAGGTTCGGGATGATGCCGGGGCGGAATTTTGGAATGATTGACGGAGAGTGCGGAACAGTACTTCCAACCCCCACTAACTCTTACCCCACATCCATTCCGAGACGAGGACTTTTTGCGCAATGGAGGATACTTAATGATGGCAGTCCTTCTGCCTTGAGTCAACTTCTATAACATTGTCCTCACCTCATCACGTCGATTCCCTCAGTCTACTTTCATTGGCACCTTCGTCATCAACCCTCTTTCTACTAATACCCAAACTTCAGAACAGTCACAATGCCAATCACTCGTGTCACTCTCTTCAAGATTCCCGAGGAGGAGCACCGCCAGCAGGTGTTGGCTAAGTACAAGACTATGGCGCGGGACGCCTTGAAGGTGCGAGTTTTGACATTATCTTCATCAAACGAGAGCGCGTCGGAAGTTTATCCCCCCAAGCGTGATGAAAAACTAAGCGGAGAACAAACAGGACGGCAAACCTTACATCCGCTCCGTCAGAGCCGGTTCCACTTTCGAAGACCAGCGCCGTCAGGGATATACCCTCGCCGTGATTTCGGAGTTCGACAGCGTTGATGACATGAAGTATTACGACAATGACTGCCAGGCCCATGCCAGTCTAAAGGCCGTTGCGAAGGATGTGCATCAAGGTGTCATGATGGTTTATTTCGAGTCCGTGACAACCCCAGAGAACCTATGAGATAAACCTCGAATACCAAAAGAAGAGTAAATGCGGTATCCAGATATACTCTTCGAGAAGGAATGAATGGAGCCCGGAAAATGGGAGAAATCCTAGGTATACCCGGCCAAAAAAAACTATTTGGACCCGTATGGACCATGATATATTATGTATATAAAGTTGGAATGGAAGTGATGATAGCGTTACATGGCTGCAACCATTGCTTCTTCCAGTCATTAGGTCAGAAACTTATGCTCTTGGGTAATTCTCGCGGCCCTGTTTCGAGAACGAAAACGGCATGGCAGTCTTAAAAAAGCCGCTTCTCGGGGCTCTCTTGAGCTATCTGGAAGGGAAGTTCCATGAGGACAATTGAGAGTGCTTCATTGTCTGAACTATGAGACGTAGCATTGATTTCAGATGTGGCTTTTTTTGGGGGGCGCGAAGAGAATGAAAGAGATGCGCATGCATCAAGGATTAGACCTGTCTTTCATCTCATGTTGATAAATGAAGAATATTGCGGTTCATTGGGCGATGCAAGGGCGTATTTTGGGATTGGAATCATTCTCGAACTCTAAACATCGACAGTGCAGTATCGTGGATAGCCCAAGTGACAAAACTGTTCAACCTTCTCTGTATTTCCCATCCAAAACGTAGTTAGCTTTTTTATCCGCCAAATAGTTGAACGTGCATGGCTAGTAGAGGCTCTCATGGGGACGAAGTTCGGAGCGGCTAGCTTTAGGATGACATAATCAGCATCATCGCACCGCTCGTCAACCAGCTCCATGATCGAGTTAGATACCTCTTCCCCCTACAGCCCACTTCGCTTGGGAGAAGCAGAGAGCGATTCTACTCTTCGAAAAGAAGAGCCCGTTTCTATTTTGTTTCTGTTGTGCCCTGAAACTGCGTCTGCAAACCCCACTACTCCTGCTCTTCGTGCCGCATTCCGCGTACGTTCGACCTGGAACTATCAAGTCCGCTCAGAATATCCCGAATCTTTATCGGACCATATTCACCTAATAATTACAAGAATGGCGAACGGGTAACTGTCCTTGTCTTTCTCCCCCTTCTTTCGTTCATAAAAAGAAAGAACCAACTGACCGACCGCCGATGGAACGGCTTTGCAACAGATGGAGTATAATTATCGGCCTCGTCTTTGTTGTCCTTGCGAACCTCGTTGCGTGGGTGTTTAGTCCCAAGGGCGAAAACAGAACGTTAGTAAATCCTTTCTATTTGACGAGTTATGGCTTCATTCCTTGGAACGCGGGGAGGGATTGCTGGTTGGCTTGGGCTGGACGAACTGGGTGATTTGTCTCGACCTACGCACGTGTTTGGCGTACCCGCTGCGTCCGTGAGAGCATATCGAGACGGCTATGGGTTAATAAAGTGCTCTAGATTTTCTTGGAGCATTTGCAGGAGCGCAGGGAGCATTTAATTCAAGTCAACCCAGGCGAAAGCACTCGCCGGTGGATCATCAACGGCAGAATAGAAGACTAACTTCGAATTCGTTTGTTAGGGTATGGCGAAGTTCATTAATTCTCGCTTTCACAGCATGTTATCTTATGTGGGGTACGTCCGATCTCAATCTCCCTTCATACCCTAGAGTCCGAAAGAAAAGAAGCCCGAGATAACGAGCACCCTTTTCTGACCTCTTAACAGCCATCACGTTTCTTTCACAATGGCACCCATTGATAGCCCCACAAAGATCCGATATACGGCCGGGAATGGCTCCCCATTAGTGTGGGCACGATGAGGCCATATTGATGGTTTTTTACACTTTCATTTCCTGGGTGATATCCTCTGTCTACTTTTTTCCTGCGAGTTCTACACGTCTATTCTGGCGTTTGGGTTTGTATTGTACGATTAGATAGATTCTAGTCAGCCATTTTTACTGGAAACATAGCTCTATGCTTTGTATGGTCTATTAATCTAGGAACCTACTACCCTGACTCGTTCAGCTACACCCCTACCAATTTTTTTTCAAAGGCCAACCAAGCGCAATAAGGACCTCTCCACCACCCATCTCGCCAACTGGCCTCCTAAAGTGATGACTGCTGCTCGGAGGTATCCGCAGTCTAACAAAATATACAGTGCTTCCACATTATTCAAAAGAACAAGGTGCGTATTAGTCACGGAAAGCAGAAGCGATAGGATCGGTTGTAGAACAGGTGACGATCCCCACGATGCTGGCGATGTAAGAGACATAGACGGCTCGGGAGAAGGAAGTGTGGGAGTGCTTGTCACACTGTTTGTCGAGCGTGTCACTGTAGCCGTGACAGAACTGATTCTATGGGAAAATATAGCGGTACTGGGTACGGATGAAGAAAGAGAACTATTAGCTGTGTTGGAGCTGTCTGACGAATCTGGGTTCCAGATCACGAGCAATATGGGAAATAGCTTCGTGCAGCTGCTGACGACCAAAGCGGTACTAATTGCATTAGAACTGGCGGACGAGGGACGCGACATGGGCTGTATTAGGGTGGTAGCTGTAGGGAAACGGCTGAATGGCGGCGGTGCGGGAGAGTCACTCCGGGCCGGGCCTAGCGGAGTGGTTGTACTATTCCATGACGCTGCGCGGCTAAGTTTATGATGAGGTGGGCTAGAAACGATTGGCTGAGACTGCGTAGCAAGAGTAGCTGTCAAAGGTACAAGGGTAACCGAGGGTGATGAACTTGCGTCTCCACCAATACGTGCAGGATTGCCCGCATCGCTTAAGCTTTGGTTCTGCGTGCCTGCTGCTGAAGTGGGCCTTGATACAAAGACAAACGCCAGTGCTCGGACTATCAGATGGTGTGCAAGTGTTGCGAGTGCGTTGACTGTCAGGAAAAATACATATTGGATGATAATTGGGGCATTCGCCAACTTGGAATTCCCGATAGCAGCGGATCTCTCGATTCGCGCCCAAGCAATGTAGACGTCGAAGAGGAGGATTAGGATTCCGAGCCTAATAATTGAGCGCTGCAAAACGGAGTCAGCAACTACCACCCATCATACAAGTCTTCATCTAGCAGGAACATACATCAAATTTATCATCATCTCTCCCAAGACGATTAAAGAGCAGGTGCCTATAAACCTATATAAGAAAAAGCGGCACCGTCAGCGCATGCAACCCTAGGGAATTAGTTGAAGACATTACCTGCGGCTTTATCAGAACCAAATCAATAAATAATACGACAAAATCGTGCTCGACATATTTATCAGCGAATCGCCGGCATCTTGGGCACTGGGTCAACCGCACTCCTTTCCCAAGGGCGCGGTCGTCAGCTTTGCTGTACGAAGTATAGAGGTGAGAAACAGGGTAGCAGCATTCAATGCATATTGGCATTGTGAAGTGTCAAGGCTTCATTTTTAAGAGAGGACTCCAATTACAGCAGCAAGGCGTATTCCTGCTTTTGCGGACTGTTGGTGTTCCAGGCAGCAGCTGTGAAGCCCCAGGATCGTCAACTAATGCAGATGCCGGAAACGCCAAACAGCCACGGAACTGCGGAGTTTATTAAATCCGAGAGCCTTTGGACAGACGAGGCCCCTTGCAACGGAAACGAGATATTGAGAACGCTGACTCCAAAAAGTACTACCATAGGGGCTTAAGCAGTTAGTTCTCGGTTTCGAATGATCGAGTAGCTGGAGAGGGGGAAGATATGCGGTATTCCAAGCTTTTGTACGGAACCACGACGGTGAGACGGACAATGATCCAGCTGGCAGTGCTACTGAGCTTGCAATGGAAATAATATGGAACCGACAATGACAATGTAGTAATTATGAATTATAGCCACATGAATTATATACAGGTCACTACTCTAATTAATCAGCTTGTTGAGTTTTATCGGCCCAGCTAGGTTCAATGGCTCGACACACTCCCTCATAATCCCAGAAACGCGATTGATTCTCTGGAACACCTGCGGTTGTCCAAAACATTGTCCAGTTCGTACCAGGAAGCTTCCATGTCCCTCTTGAGCGCTCGAAATACCACTTATTGACAGGGTTATTCGCGCGACTCCGCCAGCATACTCCCTGAGGGAAGCATGTTCGAACCATGGCATTGAAAACAATATCTGCTACCCCGCCGGCCCCCTGACTTCGCTTAAGAACGGCGAACTTGTCCAGATATGGGACCATTCGAGCTCTAAATTCTTCCGACCCGTCGTCAGACAAACCGGGAGGCGTCTCCCAGGTTAAAACCGCACCACCTTCATATTCGCCAGCGATGATTAACCCAGCAAGACGTGGGTTGATCCGGTCAAGGTAATGGCGGACATCCAGTTTACGGCCAAAGGAATCTTCAATCAGATGGATCAACCGCGGGAGGTCAATTCGAGGGTCATCCAACGTCAATGCTGGCTCTCCACGCTTCTTTGCAGCCCATACTTCGACCCGAGGATCTGGGAGCATAGTCAAAGGCATCCCTCGTTTGACAAAGGTTGAATGAGTGGCCGGAGATTCTCCTGCCGACATGCGGTCACTCTTCACCCCCAGTCTGCCAAGGGGCAAAGAAGCCGACCGAAACGGTTTATCTGTTAGCAAATTGTGGATCAGGGGATTCCGTTGTCGTCGGGTCCTAACTGCGGATACTGCTGAGGTATTTAGAGGTCCTTTAGCGGACAGAGCTACCTCATGAGGTGTCACGATGATACCAGATGAAGACGGAGGTAGATACGAGAGTGTGCGCTGTAAAAGATTCAAATTCTCCAGGTGTTCCGCGAATCTCTTTCCGTTGTTAGGCATTTCTTGGGATTCTCCAAGTGTTGTCGGAAGAGATACAAGCTCTTCCTCAACGAATATCGAAATAGGATTGCTCTTCCCAAGAGATGAAACCGGCATTTTATGGCCAGCAGTGTCGCTGTCATTTATGCTAAGAAATCCAGTTTGAGATCCCAAGCTCAGCTCTCTCGCAATGTCCTCAAATTCTTGCTCTAGATTAATAAAGACATGCGAGCGCCGTTGTAACGAGGGAATGCCACCGGCAGGGTCTAAAATGATAATCCTGTCTAGTGACACCTGCTTTTGCATGTCGTTAACTTTGTTTGCTGTTGTTGTAGCATCCTCATCCGGGCCAGAGCGCAATTCTAAACCTGCCAATTCCTTGGACAAGGCAAAAACTACTTCATTCGCCGGGAGAAGCACCGCTCGTTGTGTATCATTGGTATATCCAACTGGGGCAACTACGACAACATGTCCTTGCTGTAGCGGGGAGAGCAGTGGGCCGCGTGACAAGACAGAGAGTTTCATGTCCGTCGCCGATGGGACCGTAATGATTGAATCTAGTTGACGCGAGTCTGGGCCATGATTCGCATCAATGACAGCGGACAAACGATCCGCCTGCTCCCTCGCGATTATCCGCCTATGGGTTTCATCCTTGTCAGTTCCAACATCGATGACAATGCAGCAGCTCATTCCAAGTCTGCTCAGCTGTACCAACGTCTTGGCAACCCCATGAAGCGTCTGATCGTCCAGCAATTGCGGCTTTCGAAGCTTGACTAAAGCGACGTGAATCTTTTCTCGAAATAGTTCTGTACTTTGAGCCGATGACCACTCCTGTTTGGGCGCAGGGGTCTCAGCCACAGTCCTTGTTTCTGAAAACATGCTCCCCAGGTTAACTCCAGGTTTATCCTTCATCGACTCCAGATCTGATATAAGATCACCTCGCCGGGGGGGAATGTGTTGGCAACCATCATTAGCTGTGGTCTTCTGAGCTTTGAATCGTGAAAGATACGATTTCGCTTCTCTTTTCGTAGATGCAGAACAAAGGAGGGTCAGGTAAAATTCCTATTTCGCATGATTGTCAGAGCTATACATCAACCCTGCTAGTGGTGCACAGGTGCAAACAACCTTCTCAGCCTCCTTCTCTCTCGCTTTATGACCTAGATCTTGGGGAGCCTCCCCGCCAGACTTCGAGTGTGGAATATAGTCATTAGGTCGGTGGATAGAGGGCCGTGGGGCTGCCGGAGCAGCAGAGTCGCAGAAACGTCTTTTTTTCAGTGGCGGCGAGCCATTGAATGTAGGAAAACTAAAAGAATGATCATGCTGTTCAAAGGAAAATAGAAAAAAAAAAGCAAAATCAGCATGCGAGTTCTCAGTCCGACGGGAGCCGAAAATACCTTTTGAAGAAGACGGCAAGACTGGGTACACCAGCCCAGGACTGTGCTTCGACTCATTTCTGCTCAATTATCACATCTCCTGTGACGGGCTAGGATCTGCGTAAAGAATGTGTCTATTTCATAAATCATTAAAACATTAAAGAAAAGGGAATTTCAGCAGCCATTTTTTAATTTTGCAGTTGTCGAGCGAGGACGCTGTGAACCAGCCCCCGGGTGTTTGTGGAGCTTGTGACTCAGTTGCTTGTGGTGACGTGTGAGTTTAATATTTAGCTGGACTCGAGGAACTACAATCCGGCGCTCGAACACTCGATACAAAATGAGGCGAGGGTGACTATATTATTAGATACTATCTAGAGGCGTGATCTATCTTCCAAATATACAGCCTTTGTGTTCTTCCGACTTCACTCACTCTCAATCTCGCTTGGACTTCCCAAATGTCCTCCGGAGACGGCAAAACATGTCGAGTCCAGCCAAAACAGCTAATGCAACTAGTCAGTCTTCTATTCAATTGCATTGAAAAGAACTCCGTCTACGGAATATACACGGTTCGCATGTGATTGAAGAAAACAGTGGCAATCCATCGGCCCAGCGGAACAAGGGAATGAAGCTTCTTCGGATCCATGCTCCTAGCAAAGACCGTGCGTAGTGCCCGGAGACATGGGGTCAAACTAGGGGCAGCGGATCATGCAACAAACCAAATCTGACTTACAGAATGCGAGATACGGCCCGTAGAGCAAGGTGAGGGAGGACTTCTCCTCAAAGGTGCGGTCTGTCCAATCCCACACGTCCACCAGGCATGTGAGGGTGGTGAGCGACGCCTGCACGGCCCAGACGAGCAGGTGAACTGAGACAAAGGCGTCCTCTACATGTATACCAACACAAAGCTCGACGATTAGCTTCTGCCCCCTTCACAACTTACAGTCGAGCGACTGTCGTGCGAAAAATTGGGCCATGACATACCTTTTAGAAATCCACGGATGATCAATATACTCGCGGGAACATGATAGAACGCTTCCATCAAGATATACGCCCGAAACCACTGGGGTGGCTCAGAGAAAAACTTGTCATGATACTTGTCGATATAGAAGTCTCGCAACGTATCGAGGGCCGCCGGTCTGATGGAGTCTGGATACAACGGAACAAGATCGACAGCTATATAAACGCTGTCAGTTGACTCATTCCGTCCCAGAAACCCTTCCACCCGTTCCCTTCAGGATAGCCAAAATGACACATGTCAACCTGATTATGCTTCAGGAAATCAAAGCTATCATGGACCTACCGAACATCACAACAAGGTGGATTGCGAAAAATGCAATGTACAGTACATCGGCTGCATTTTGACGCTGGGTCTTCGCCAATTTTGATTGGCCTGCGTCTGATCTGAGGGACATCTCTGAAGTCGAAGAGAAGGATCCTCTGTACTCCGTACAGGCGAGTGTTTCAAGATGTCAACATTCATAGTTTCTTTCCGAGACTGACGATCAATCCCGTTTCTTCCGCACGTTGCCAAGCGCTGCCAAGCGGCTAACTAACTAGTTAACGAGTTAACAGACTAATCAAGCCTCAACGTTGGAGGGCTTGACTTTGTTATCTCCAATGTCCCGGATGCTTGAAACGGCTTTCTACTCCGGATTCTAGAAAGAGCACGGAGCACAAATTACGATGAGTACGGATTTATCTTCTCCTCCCCATGTCTCGGAAAATATTCAGAATGCCTGTGAGAATAGCAAGAGATCCACGCGCCATTGGGCGGCCTACGAGCTCTTTGACCAATTGGCCAAGTCCAGGAACGATTGTTTCCAGCCTAGATATATCTGGCCGTTCTACGGAGTATCAAGGTCACCAATCAAACCGAGGGGGAAGATTTCTTCTCTAATTAGAGCAGCTAGTGGGATACAATAACCACATTCCCAGCGTTAGGATGATCAGATATTTGGCTGTGGGTTGACTCCGGAATACCTTGGGGTAGCACTGCTTTTGCTTGGGTTATGCCCTGAAAACTCACACTTATCCGAGTATTGCCTATTGCCTCGGGTTGATTAGCGCCTTTGGCGTAGGCCTTCCGCGTCTTACGCTGGCCGATAGGTTCTGCGAGTCCCAAAACGCGGCCTGGAACCATTGTTATGACATCCAATATGATCTAGAAACCAGGGCCCTTCAGAAGTGGGAAAACAACGGTAACCAATAATCAATCTAGATAAATATAACATGTGGGGTGATCCGTATGTTATCCACCGCCGTCTGGAGCTCCCTCTACCCGGGGAACATAGTGTGGCTGTCGACAAACGGCTCATTGAAAGATTAGCGACTTTACCATATAATGATCAATGAGCTCGCCTTGTTAATGAGGCAATCATTTATAGGAATCTAACAGTCTAGAATCTTACAGTTAGTCCTTAACCTTATGTAGACCCTGTTTTATCCAGACGCATCATAAACGTCTCGAATGTGCGGCATTCGAATTTTCAGTCTTATCCTGTACGTAAACAGAGCCATTTGACCTCGTCCTAGAGCCAGACAGTTCAGCGCCATTGTAAACAACATTCCCAACCGCATAAAGATGGCATAAAATTGAAAGGAGAAATAGTAAATGAGAAGGCTGGAGGTTCGTTAGGGAGAAAAAAAAAAAAGGAATATGTCTAGCAGGAACGAACATAGAAAAGGGCACTCAGGGCTAGATAGTTGCGTAAACAGGGAGGAACGAAAGAAAAAGAATCGTATAAAGGTACAAGGAAACCCTCATTAAATAAACCGCCAACGCACGGGGGCCTTATCGTAATGATTGTTCAATCCTCATTCGCAAGTCCCTGCAAACTTCTGCAATCTCCCTGTCTCCTCCGCTTTGCTGCACCAACAGTAACAACTCGGAGACACGACTTGCGAGCACGTCACTACCAAAAACACCGCCACCAATTCTAACTGTTTCTTGATACCATCGCGAGATAAGGTAAACAAGATCATTGCCAATATACATACGGTTGCGGCCCTGGAATGGCACCTCATCATTGTAGAACATCGACTCCAATATTGTATAGAGCGTTTCATGCGCAACCTGGAGATCGAGGAATAGATCAATTACCCATGTTTGGGGTCCTACGCCAAGTTGGCGTTCGAGAACATATCTCTCAAGCATTGGCAATAGAATTGGGACGGGGAACGTGATTTCTGACATCCTCAAACGATGGGCAAGGGAGCGGACTTTCTCAATGACCGCTTCGTATGGGAGAGGCGTGCCCTTCTCTGATGCTTCATCATGAACATCCTTAATCAAGTTCTCCCACGCCGCTTTGATATCGGAAGTGTTTCTGTAATTGGCAAGGTACATTATTTGTAGACAGATGTCATAATAACCACCAGGGTCAGCGTAGATGTTGAATAGCTGCGGAATCACATTAGTGACGTCAACATCGGACTATCACAAGAAATCTTACAGTGCTGAGCTCCATGATTTCACCCCCAACTTCCTTAAGAACCTCGTCCTTTCTTTCAGCAGCTATTCTTGTATCATCTTTGAGACGCTGAAGTAAATCGTCCTGAACGTTCGCCACGTCCAGAAGGCCCGAAATTTCTTGCTGTAATCTCTGTCGAGAAGCACGGGAGACGTCGTGTGTAAAAGTTGAGGCATTGGCACTTGCTTGACCAAGATACTCAATCCGTCGGCTCAAGGGAAGGGCGAATGGGCTCTGAGCGAGTTGCAGTTGGACAGCAGCAGCGTCGTAAAACCGACTAGATTGTCCGTAGTATCTCCACAGCAAGTCCGCGTGGAAGATGTCTTCAGTTGACTTTCTCTTGAGATAGATAGCGACAAACGGAGTCTGTATCTGCAGCAGCCTTTCGCTCCAACCGCGTTCAAGATACCAATCATAAAGACTCGTGAGGAAGACCTCGTCTTGTGAGCTCGTGATAACATCATAAGCCTCATTTTTCCTTCTGTTGACGGCAGTATATTGTCCATCGACAATTTCGGGTTCTTTGCTCGCAAGGTCATCAACTGCCATAATAACATTGTAGATTAGTTCATAACATTGCTTCCTCGTTTCATAACTGGCTTGGCGGGGGTCCTGCAGAGGTTATTAGGCATTGTCTTTGACGTCAAAGCGAGTTGGATGAGTTCGGTACCTGAGCAGGTCGACCGTCCATAAGCCATGACTGTGCACGATTCGCTCGATCTGAATCGGCAGCGACGCTTAAACATAGTTGGATTGCACCTAGTATAATTAGCACCCCGCGTAGCCATAGCGGCTAGAGAGCCATACCAGCATAAAATTGATTTTGAATATATTGATCAACCGCAGATTGAAGATAATCCATTGGTAAGGTCTCAGAGACCTGCATGAACAGATTTAAACTTTCGTTCAGCAGATTTCTACCAAACTCAGAGTTAACACCAGCTTCTGCCGCTCGCTTCAGCTGCTCCTGAGCCTTGAAAATTAGAACATCTTCCGCACTGCAGAACGAGCCGCATCGTCGCCGAAGGGCCTCTGCAACTGTTTCCACGTTTGAGCCTTTCGCAATGTTGCGGTTCACAATTGCTTTGACCAGTTCCTTTGCAACATCATGGCCTTGAGAGCTGCTAAAGAGTTGTTCGAATGTCAGAGTCAAGAACCTCGATTTGGACACTTCGGGCAGCAGCGCTACGGTATCTTCGACGCGTTCGTCGAAAAGAACGAGAATAAACGATATTCCTTCAATGGTGTGTGAGATTAACTGAACAAGTGAGTGAAGAGCACGGTGCTCTGCTTGCAAAGAAATTTCTTCTTGCTTTGTAGCCGCTCGTGACAGCGCTTCGGGGCCGCTTAGGCCCTCAATGAAAGACTTATTGACACGGAAGAACTCCTGCAGCGCCGAAAGATCCCGCTGAATTGAATGCAACTTTGGTGTGCTCACGGATGGGACAATGGAAGTTCCACCGGCCGGCGTACGCTCTTGTTTCACAATGACAGTCTTCCAGATTGACCTCAGAAGTCTCGAGGTGTAAAGAGCAATGCCTACATGCCGAGGTGATGGTATAACCGCATCGATTGCGAGAGCAGACCCGTCAGTCACCGCATTCTCATCCAAAGAAGGCTTCCCACCAAACTCAATGAAAACTTTCCGTGCGAATTCTAGCACGTCGGGATCGTTTATCTTCGACAAGCGAGAGTCTTGTGAAAGCTCAACACCTTGACCACATGCAACTGCCAGCGCCGTTGCAAGCACCTCGCTTCGGCCGTAAAGTCTAATAAGCGTTTTTACTTGGTTTTCAAGTCCCTCTTCGCCGCCTGAGCTGCGGATAAGTGATGCAAAAATATCAACGAGTCTTCGTCGGCGGATAACATGGACTCCGGTATTCGTTAGGATCGCAATCTCGGCGGCCGGCTGATCAAACTGAACCGCAAGCTCGTTTCCAAAGCCAGGAGTCCCTTGAGCGCCGAGTCCAGGTGTACATAGCCCAATATCCTCAGCCCGACTGCCCAAGGTTAGCCAGAGTCCAGTTTCACCTGGTTTAAGTGGAATGGATGTCTCCTGTGGGCGGGCGAGTCGACCAGAATCTGGCGTTGATATAAAGAGCGTATCTACCCGATTGAGGGGATCTCTCGCAGTGAAGCAGAAGAAGTATCCCGGAGGATAGCGCTCGGCCGACCGGGTGGGATTCAGTGACTGTATTGGGAGTCGAGCGCTTGCTGTCGCCTGGTATTGGGGTCCTGATATCGGAGAAGCGCCCTGCATAGGCTGAAGCATGGGTGTATCGGGAGGGGGGGTTTTCACATGTTGTGCTTGCATGCTGGTAGGTGCGTTGGTCGGACTAGGCGTTGCGGACCAACTATAGGAGCCGGTAGCACTAAGATAGATCCTGTATCCTGTTGCTGTTGTCGCCATAAGATGGTACCTTGAGGCTTCCTCGACAGGAATAGGGCTAATCGACACGATCTTGACTCGAGGGTTGAGCGTCTCGTTGCTGCCGATTATGTGGCCAATATTCGAGTAGATATCAACGGCGTTTTTCGTAATTGCCAGACTGAGAGTTCCATCTTGCTTTAGATGGAATACTCGAACTGAGGAGTTCGACGAGAGTGTATATAGGAGATTCCTGCTATCATCAACTAGCATCTGCTCCACGAAATTCTGAGGCTTATGCGTCAAAGTGAACTGAGGAGCGAAAGCTGCAAAGCTCTTCGTCGTATGGTTCACCTTTGTACACCTCCCTTGAAACCAGCGCTCCTCTTGCTGATACTTGAGCTCGTAGACATCGTTGTCTGTAGAACCGGCGAAAAAGATCCTGCCTGTCGAGTCTGAGGATGCAATCACGTTAATATCGAGTCCACGTATTGACGTCGACATTCCAGTTTGGTAAAGCGTGACAATGTTTGTTTCTCCGGCCCCTTCGCACCCCAAACCAAGGAGTATGACATCGGCCGTGGTCGCAATGACGATGACATATGTTATCGACGATAGGAATACTCCTTTTCGTGGGCGCGCAAGCTTTACGGTGTTAATGCTATTCGGTTGGTCCTCGAAGCCAATTAACTGGGGGTTTTGATGCGTGTAGTTCCATAGATAAAGCGCGTTGTCGATCGTCACCCATGCGTGATTCAGCTCCGCAAAAAGCCCCATGCTCGTCGATACTTGTGCTCGATTATATTGATCGAATATCTGGTCGGGAATATTGTACATTTTTATTTTCTGAAAGGGCGCCCATGATGATGAGGTGGGTATATCATAATGTGAACTGAATCCCTCTGTAAAAAAGTCAGAGTCTCGAGATAGACCCGAGCAACGGCTTTGAGAATAACTCACGGGAAAGATAGCTATCTAAATCAGGATACCGCGAATCCTGCGCTAAGGCGTCGTCTATCGTACGGGCTCCCCGTTCTCGTGGACTCATAGTCTCGGCCTTGCTTTTAGTACTCGAAACTGCTTTGGTGCCGATTGTTTGGGCCAAAGTACTTCCCGCGGAGGAAGGGCGAGCAGCCGCGGAGGATAGCATTCTATTCTGATATAGGCCCCCATTGGCAAGCGATGGCGCTGGCGTCTGAAAATATGTGCCTGGCACTGGTTTAGCTGGTGTGAGAGGTGGAAAGCTCATGGTTGGGAGTTCCCAGCTGGGTGCCCCCCGCAATTCAGTCCCGTGAAAGCAGCTCCAGGTTTAAAATTGGCGAAACAAGAGAAGAGAGAAATAAAATGGAAGCTTAAAAGCTTGCAGGCTTAATTTTAACACAAATGGTGTTGGTTTTGTGGCAGGGACACACGGTTTCACTGGTTGGTAGCTGTGAGAAGTTGAAGCATTCAAACGGAAACAATTTTGCGCACAGACCCCAGAATGGTTTCCCATCAACACAGTTTGACTGCAAGAGCTCTCGGTTCACAAAACACCACAGGAAACAAATCCCGCCCTATTACAGAGTACTGTCTTTTTAATTGAAGGGATCTTAACTACTCTGTACACTCACTTATATCAGCCATGTTCAGACTGCTTAGATTCCAGGCTCGAACCCTGCTCCGAGCTACTTGCAGATACAATTCCACTGCGCCTACTTCACCACCTCTACTCGCAAAGCTGAGAGCAGATTTGAAAACTGCTATGAAGGCTAGAGATACTGTTAGGTTGTTTAAGCACACTCTATACATAACCATATGCATGGATCAATTGAGGAATCTATCATGAGCTAATCCTGCAATCCGAGCTGTCTTCAGGCTTGATGTGCTGCGTGCCGTGATCTCAGAGATCAACAATGCTGCCAAAACATCCTCGCCGATCCAGACTGACCTCCAACTCCTCGCATTGATCCGCAAGCGCTCGTCTTCTCTTGAATCCTCCAGCCAGGAGTATGTGAACGCTGGCCGGCACGACTTGAAAGAGAGAAACGACACAGAAATCAGTGTACTTAACGAATACGCCGGACAAGTACAGACTACGACCATAGAAGAGATAGAATCTGCAGTCACTCAAACGATAGAGAATCTCCGGAGTGAGGGAAAGAAGGTCGATATCGGGGCTATTATGAAGGCCGCTTTTGCGCCAGGTGGACCGTTGAACGGAAAGCCAGCTGAAAAAGGAGTGGTATCCAAAATCGCCGCCAAATCGATTTCAACTGCATAAATAAACTGGCCCGAATTAGCCCGATTTATTGTTGGAGATTCCGGGCCGGTGAATGATTTTGCGGGTTGCATGAAGTATCGAAGCCATGGAGCACGGAGCAACACCAATCGACATGGAGCCCGTGAATAGCACAATTGACAGATCGCGCTCAGGCGTCTGTTATGTACTATATGAACACTGTAAATTTAACGAAGACACATCTCCTAAAAACCGTCGACTCCGTTCGAATAAGCCTCCCAGACGAGGTACGAAATCACGTCCCTTATTTTGCCACAGGGCAACACAATATGATAAAGGTAAACACAAGGAGCAGATATTCGATTCCTTAATTGTCTCGAAGCACCAAACAATCGAAAAATAGAAGGATATATTCCAGCAAGATTGGCTTCGCAAAACACCGCAGGACATCAGACAGTCCACCCAAGCCAAATTTCCTTCCGGATATCATGCCATAACTCCTTCCGCTTCCCTAAACGCCCATCTATACCAAGATGCAGGCCCAATTATCGAGAAATCCAGGATGATGTCGTTTACCAATCTTTCCATGGGCTTTCTGAGTAAAGAAACGCGACGCCTCCAACGAGGGTCATAATAACACCAGCCCACCACCATTTATCGGGATCTGTGAGTCCGCCCACTTGCGTAGAAGGACGCTTATTGCGTGAACTGGCCATCCCGCCTCCATATGGCAGGCCCCGCTTAGCCTTACTTCTACCGGTAGCACCAGCTTGAGCTGTTGGGTTCAGGGTTTCGGTTGGAAGCATTTGCGGCGGATCGAAAACCAGAAACATCGGGTTCATAGGTGTTCCGTCAAACTGGTAAAGATTGAGGCGTTTGACGTTGTGGAAGGGGTCAGTTAGCACCTCGTATCGCTGTAGGATAACAATTAGAGCAAACGCTTCGAAAGCTCGTTGTAGAACAAGTTGCGCCTACCTTGAAAACCTCTGTCTGATTGAATCGGAAATACATCGAGCCCTCGCTCTTGCACGGACTCGAAATTAGCTGACGACCGTCGACCGCGAATGGAGTCAAAACGAGTGAGCCGTTGGATTCCACGCTGTACTTTCCATGCTGAAATTGCATCATCGCTGAGGCACATGAGGGCTTGGTTGCTAGAATTTCATAGCTTGTCAGAGTCTCTCAGATCTTGCCCCTCTAGAAGGACTGGTGAGCTCACGGTTAGGAATGGCGCGGAAATACGCTTCTTCGAAGTATCCATCTTCGGTGAAAGAGTAAGAGATGCCTGTGTTTTCTGGTTCCTGGAATCTATCTTCCGCAGGATCGTAAAACGCCTGGAGCCATCGATTAGCTCCAACAGAGAGGCAGAGACCGTCACGAAGTCTTGAGGGTGTGTAGACTTACAGGGCCGGTGACAACCTTCCTCGACTTTGTCGCCCAGGTTCCAGTGAGTTTTGGGTCAAGAGCTGCAGGAACAGCCGTTAAAAAGCAAAAAAGGACCAGAAGAGCAACAATGAGAACCATTTTCGCTGCCCAGTTGCTTGGTGCACCTGTGGTGTGAAAAGGTTTCAGGAGTCAGGACTCTGAGAAGTTGATTCCGGAATGACGAAACGGTGTCTCATTGTGACGCGTTCATTGAAAAGGTTGTGCGCCATCACAACACTGGGCGATCAGGAGTTGGTGAGTTGGTCAAAGCAGTTATTATTTTTGGAACTTCTCTTATTATTTAGCCTCTAGGACACCCTGTCTAACAGTCTGATGTTTTTCTTGTTATACAGAGTAGAGTACGGAGTACGGAGTAAAAGTAGATCCATTGCACCTTGCTGCAGCATTGATTATCATCTTCCGCACCGCTAACCAACTAGGGAGCCTAGGCCTTACGGAGCATTAACTAACTAACTAGCATGTTCGGAGTATGGTCATCAACTAGCGCGCCACGGAGAACCCAACCACAAGGGTAAAGGTGACAGCGAGCACTGAAGGAGGATGTCTTAAAGGAGGTTTTCAGGGCCAATTCTGCATTTTGACTTGTGCTACCTCCTTTGGATTGAAAGGACTCTGTAGTATTGGAGCCTCTCCCAAACAAGGACTGTAAAAGTAATACAACAAAACATGGCCCAGCGCCCATCCTAGAAATCGTTAAATAACGATGTTAGCAAGTTTTCGGCCTTGGCTGTACGGAGTAGAGTCAAATCGATCGGCTGATGCCGGTACACGGTTGCTCCATCAACACCAAACCCTTGACACGATTAGAGGAAATTTCGCTCTGGCCAGGTTGCGGTGCATAGAGTACGGAGCATGTAAGTGAAATAAATCTCAGGTCTCCGGTTTCTGCTCATATGTATATCACTGCTGAGTAGTTAATGAAAGTAGTGGGTTTTGGCGCGTCGTTCAATTGTCTCTACCGCCATGGCAAGCTTGCAGGCCGCGAAGAAGGAACTGCGAAGCAGGATTAAAACTGTCCTCTCTGGCCTCTCGGGGGACTCAGTCAATAAGCAATGTCAGCCGGCGCCATGCTGATAAAAACATACAATCAATAGGATGCTGATCCCATAGCCAGCTTCTACCATAACGAACGCGCTTTTATCTTTGCCAGAATACCAGGCTGCTAAGCGATTAAGCGTGTATCTTGCGATGCCCTCTGGGGAAGTTCAAACGGCGGACATCGTCCGGGATGCATTTAGCCAAGGTAAACAGGTGTATGTGCCCTATATCTACCAACTAGATCCTGTGTCTACGCAAGGAAGGAAGTCTGTGATGGAGATGCTGGCACTCCGTTCAATTGAGGATTACGAGTCTCTGCAGCCAGATAAATGGGGTATCCCTTCGCTGGATGCAGGCTCACTTGCTACAAGAGAAAATTGCTTTGGGGGATATGGACTTCGAGGGCTGTCTCATCCTTCCACAGAGACAAGTAAGGCTGGATTAGATTTGATTGTCGTGCCAGGATTAGCATTTGATGAAAGCTTCGGAAGACTCGGCCATGGCAAGGGCTATTATGACCATTTCTTCATGCGATGTCGAGACGACACCACAAGCACAAGTCGAAAACCGTATCTCAGTAAGTATCTCTTCCCGGTTCTTTACATATATCGTCGGCTCATTCAAGCTATAGCTGCTCTGGCTCTGCAAGAGCAAATTCTTCCTCCTCCAGAACGGGTTCCAGCCGGGGAACAAGATTACCCAGTAGACGTGCTAATCGCGGGTGACGGACGGGTACTGAAGCGGGAATAGACGCAAATCATTCTTTCACCTTCTCCTTCGCATTTTCTTTCGCCGAGAAATAAATAGCCGATACAAACGCCAAATGTACAAATCGTATCCCTTAACCACACAGTTTTATTGCAGCGCTTGTATCAGAGAAACATTGTCGCCTTTGAGTAGAATCTGGCCTGTAATACTGTCAGGGCGACATTCGCGATAGGATAAAATACGTAACAGAGGTAGCATACCCAACTGCCTCCTTTGCTCTTCTTGATCCTTTGTTGGCACTCTAACCTCCACAGCGTCATCAATGACCAAGTTCATAAATTCGTCGAAACCCTAGACCTCAGGGGTATTAGCTTAAGTAAATGACCGGCGCAGGACGACTAACGCGTATCTTCCCCTCTATCCGGACAGCAAGCTGTTCATAAAGCCATATCGACACTGTAGATCTTTGTTGTAGGAGCTTGAAGATGAAGTGGATCGGTTGAAGAAGCGTTTTCGCTGGCCCGCGCTGACCTCGGCCGGCCATGATTGATCTCTGGAAAGGAATGGAAAATGAGGTATCAATCCACCAAAACCGAGTTGGAATCCGCGGAATAGGTGTGGGTAAAACCTCAGGCCGGAATATTTATACGTGAAGGTTGGGAAAAGGTGAACTTGGTGAGGTGATGGTGAAGCTAGCGGGCGTCTTTGGTGTGTTTGTTGGATCAAGAACTTTTTTTGGCGCAGCTGCTTTGGACTTTGGCTCATCGAGTGATGGACCAACAAGTTCATTTACAATCGACAGAGAGCCTTTAAACCTCGAATACTCTGCATACCTCTCGCATTATTTGCTTGCTCTCCTAAACACCCCTCATTCATGAGCACTTCTGATACACTGCTGATTTGCTCAGCGTCGGTGATCACCCCGCTCCCTTGAATCCTCCCGGCCCTTTACTCCCCCATCACATCAGGTTCAATTACCACCATGGCAACGAAGAGCACCGCACCAGTGCAGGAGTTTGCACCTGTCCTTGCAGCTCTTGCTACAATGCAAGGGAATGCTTCACGACAGGAAAAGACTCATGCTCATGAATTCCTTGAGCGCTTTCAGAAATCTGTGAGATATGATGTGACTGCCCCTCCTCGGACTGGACCTGACAGACCTCGACGTCTAGGTGGAAGCTTGGACAACAACGCATGCGATCCTCCAGGCTCCAGACTCGGCTCCCGAGGCGAAGCTGTTTGCGGCCACTACTTTGAAGGGGAAGGTGGGCGCATTTGATGGAACAATACAGAGGCCCCTTGCTAAACAAGTCGACAGATCACATATGACCTCGATCAGTTGCCCGAATCATCATTGCCGGCTCTAAGAACCTCCATCCTTTCGCTTCTGGCAAATTATAGATTGGGTCCCCGACCCATCCAAACGCAGCTATGTGTTTGCTTGGCGAGCCTGGCAATCCAAATGATCACCTGGAAAGACGTCCTTCCAGTGGTTGGGTCAGCTTTGGGCAACGAAGCAAGCAACTGCATCCTAGAATTCCTAAAAATCCTCCCCGAGGAAGTTACAGAAGGACGCAAAATCAACCTGAGTGTATGTTCGGCCGCGTCACTATCCATGTCAATCTATCTCTCGCATTTGCGCAGCCCCAGCTTCAGCAACGACACCTGTTTTGCGACCAGAAATTAGACTCTAATACATCATGATGACACCTAGGAAGAGGAACTAGCCACTAGAACGAAGGAGCTGTTGGAAGATAACGCGGACCAAGTTCTGGCGCTCCTTACTCAATACTCACAGTCTTCGCGTAAGTTTTGCCTTATACGGTCACCTGTCCAGTCCCAGTGCTGACAGAACGGATGTTATCTAGCTACTGCTGCAAGTAACCCGCAGTTATTGGAATGCATTACTTCCTGGATGCGCGAAATTCCTGCGTCGCGAATTGCTAACTCTCCTTTAATGGACGTCATCGTAAAAGCGCTTTCGGATGAGAGATCCTTCGATGCGGCAGTAGAATGTATGTGCGCCATTTATAGGGACACCCTTGAAGTTGACGATTCTATGCCCGTTATACAGACCGTCTATCCACGGTTAATCGCATTAAGGCCGAAGATCCGTGAAGCAGCGGAAACGGAGGATCCTGAAATGCTCCGTGGTGTCACCAGATTGTTTGCTGAAGCTGCAGAAGCCTGGGTAGTCCTAATTGCCCGTCTACCAAACGAATTTCGCAACCTGGTTGAAGCGGTTCTGGAATGTTGTGTTGTTGATAAAGAGCGTGATGCTATTTCTATCACCTTCGTCTTTTGGTTCGAGCTTAAACAGTATGTGACGTTGGATAGATATGCCAACGCAAGAATAGTTCTTTCGGATGTGTTTTCCAAATTGGTGGACATCATGATCAAGCACCTAGAGTTTCCGGCTACAGACGGCGACGAAGAAGATTTGTTTGAAGGAGACCGGGAACAGGAGGAGAAGTTTCGAGAGTTCCGCCACGCGATGGGCGATGTGCTCAAAGATTGCTGCGCCGTTATTGGGGTTTCCGAATGCCTGAACAAATCGTATGACCTAATTCAAGGATGGGTAGCGAAATATGGGCCTCAGGCAAGTCACAACCACGTACCACACTGGCAAGAACTGGAAGCGCCATTGTTCAGTATGAGGGCGATGGGACGAATGGTCGATCCCGAGGAGAGTTCGGTCCTTCCGCAGATTATTCCGCTTATTGTCCGAATACCTGATCAGGAAAAGGTCCGTTTCCAAGCTATTATGGCGCTTGGGAGATACACCGAATGGACAGCGCAGCATCCGGAAACTCTTGAGGCTCAGCTCAATTACGTTATTTCCGGATTTCAGCATAAGTCTCAAGAAGTTGTGCAAGCTGCCGCACTGGCCTTCAGATTCCTTGGAACTGATTGCCAGAAGTTATTGGGAGGACATATCCCACAGCTGCATACGTTTTACGAGTCAGTGATCGACAATTTAAAGCCCTCGAGTCAGGAGGAGGTCACTGAAGGCGTTGCCGCCGTTGTAGCGGTTCAGCCAATCGAAAAGATATATGAGACTCTGAAGCTGTTCTGCGATCCTATTATGAGAAGAATTATGAACTTAGCCAACAATGCGAAAGACGAAGATGGCCAAAGAGCAGTCGCTGGTAAGAAACCCTGTTGCTGAGCACCTACCTTGCTCCTCTCAAACTAACACCCATATTTAACAACAGACCATCTTCAACTCATTACCATATTTATTCAAATCGTATCACCGTATGTCGATCCTGGTACTCAAAATCCAGGTGTGCGGTATTGTGAGGAGATTCTTCCAGTTCTCAGTACGATTGTCTTGAACTTTACGAAGTCCACGCCCATACTCGAAAGAGTTTGTCGATGCTGGAGATACATGATTATTTCCTATCGCAATGCGATGATTCCATTACTCCCCAACTTAGCGCAAAGTATATCGGCTGGGTTCCAAGCATCCAGGGAAGGATGTTTCTTATGGGCAACCGATGCTGTTGTTCGGGAGTTTTCTTCCGGTGCTGAATACGTGGATCAGGCGACGAGCGATGCAGTATACCATTTCTTCGAGCAACAGGTCATCCAATTCCTCCGTATTCTCAACGATTTACCGCCAAACCACCTGCCCGATAGTAAGTGCAATCCACACCTTGTTAATTACGGAGTGTGGCTAACAACTAATTTTGCAGTGATCGAGGACTTTTTCCGTCTCTTAACCGATGCGGTGCGATACTTCCCAAAAAATACGTTGACATCACAGCTTGCCGTTCCCATCTTCTCCGCTGCACTAAGTGCGCTTACCCTGCAACAAGTCGACCCTCTTACAGCAACCCTACATTACTGTCGCGACGTCCTGAGTTTTGGATTTGAGCAGCCATCAATATCCGAATTTACGAGCCCAGAAGGCGAACCATTTACTAACCCTCCAGAGGTTAGAGCAGCAGTTAAGCAACTAATAAGCTCGCAGGGGTCTCTTCTTGTCCAACGCGTTATGACGGGAATGATGTTCACGTTCCCTGGAGATTGTTTCCCTGATGCGTCGGGAGTTTTGATGGCATTATTTGAATTATTACCACAAGAGACCGCAACTTGGGTTGGCGGCACTATTCAGTTACTTCCTTCAGGCACCTTGAAACCCGGTGAAAGTGAACGGTTGATGAAGAATCTCTCAGAACGCGTACAAACCGGCGATCATAGGAAGATTCGAACATTGCTTCAAGGTATGGCACTGAGAGTCTCGGAAATAATCATTGCTATATTGACTCCATGGTTTTATCTAACTCGATCTCTAGATTTTACAAATTCATATCGGCGACGAAATGTAGCGCCCAGAGAAGGACTTGGGAGACTCGAAGCAGCGAGGTTCCGATTTACTGGTTGAATTCCACAAAATCCATTTCCTAACAATAGCAATACAAAAAATCATAATCACATCTAGGTCATCCTGTGGGCTTCGCCTTCTGTCGACTGCATTTCCACAGTATTTCGAAGTCTCACACCAAAAAGGGATAGCGACCAAAACTCCAGCCTGTGTAAAATCATTCTTCGTGGACGAACGCACCACCTTTTGGGCAAGGCGTTATGATTTTTTTTTTTTTTTCTTTCTCTTACTTATTTTTGTCGATCCCTGCCTGTTAAACTCCATTTGCAGAACTCTTCCCGTGCCCTGCGAAGTGGATTGGCGAGCTGGAGAAAATTCACGTCCTCATAATCAATTATATAGCTGTGCGTGTTAATCTAGCTGTTAGTTATAGGTCTTATCAGAAATGGAACGGGGGAGAAAAGAGTGAAGGACACACCATCGATTCTTCTTTGGATCATAAATGAGATTCTGAAGCCGGGTATGCCTTGGTTCGATACCGAAGCTGTAAAGCTCCCTAAATCGACAAATGAGCATAACGGGACTTTGCGTCGGTAGAGGGGTGGTGCTTGACACTCACTTCAACGAGCGGCGGAAAGCACCGCGAATCTTTCCCTGCTGCTTGGATGGACGACCCCGGAAGGTTTCCAAAGATTCTCCGGTGACCTTCTCCATGACGATGATAAGGATAAAGCCGTTGGGGACCCATTGGTGCTCCATTTGCAGAGCAACCGGCCCATGCGAGTAGTTTAGGGGTAACGGAGCAGCCTCGGTCGGTCAAATACTCCAGGCTACTGAGCTCTCGTCGAGACCATAGTCCAGCCTCGTTCCGCGCAATGCTTTCTCTCTTTTCGGAATTCGGATCAGCAATATCGGGATCCGGGGGGATCCTGCAACCCACCGTTAGCTGGTGTATCAAAGCATAAGAACCCAGGAACACATCACTTACTGCATGCGAATTTTCATAATAGCGTCTTTTCCCGCGTCCTTCCCTTTGTCTGACGGCAGTGATATACAGCTTGCGCCTCTGACGGCCCACCACTACGAAGGTCTTCTTTATGGCGATCTGGGAAAAGGAGCGCCTCTTCTGATATCTTTTCCTTGATTTCCCAAGTACTGCCATCTGGAAACTCGAAGCCATGGCCATCGAACTGATCGCCAATCCATTTTTTACCGTAGACGACCTTCATTGCTAGTTGTTGAACGGAGTCTGACGTCAACGTATAGCTGTATATCGGCGGAATTGACTAGAAAGTATGACATACCGATGCACAACGTGAAGGATTAGGGGGTGAAATCATTTTGTAGCGACCCAGGTGATATTTGTATGTAAAAATCCATTTTTCTTAAGACTCAACGAACCAATGCGCCGTAACAGCCTGATAGGCGGCGTTCCCGAGACGATCCCAAGTGCTTTGCGAGGGAGACACATGAAGAGTGTATGGAGGGAAGAGAGAACGAGCACTCTGTACAACGCAACAAATAAAACGCGCCCCAATATTAAGGCGTATCAAACAGGAGTATCGAATTTTGGAAAGTCACTTGAAGGGTATCATCAGGCAGTCATGGCGAGGCAAATGGGATTACAGGCGGCAGACATCCTGAGCCTATAGAAAGGCGTGACATCACAATGGCCTAGAGTCGCTTTCCTGGTTGAGATAGAAGACATGAACTTCTGAAACAATTTTTTGGCCCTGCGGCTATCAGCCTTTCTCAGGGCTTAACCGCTGTGCCCGTTCTTGATATTATCTAGCCGCCAAAATAATCTAGATATGAAAAGAAAACAATATTATTGGCAAGATTTTATCCAATAGGCTAATTCTCTCCTAAACCACATGAAACTTGCATCCAGATCATTGATCTCCACCGGGAAAAACGGGTCACCTCAGAGTACCATCTGAACTCGTACTTGGGAGAACTCGGGATGAGATCGAAGGTGGCGGGCGCATCCACCAATGCTTAAACGCATTTTGGCATAGAAAATAGACTTTGACGCCTCGTAGCAAAGAACAGGTTGCGACCAGATAATAAGGCAACGCACGCACACGCGATCAGTGCAGTTTTGAGCCTGCGTGCCAGGTACTAAGTTCTAGCAGCAAGGTTCCACCAGAGGAGCCTTGGGGGGATTTAATTCATCGTATGATTGTTGCAGACGACTGGTCACACATGCCCTTCGGCTTCTAGGCTATGATTCGAGTAATCTCGGACAATTTGATTCGGATCCTACTACGTAAGTGAAACAGACGATCCCAGTTACTAATCGAGGTTCATAGCAGACTGTGACAGGTTCCCTGAAGTACCTCGCCCGTGGGTCTGAAAGCGGCATGAGAACCTTATCGAAACGACATCAGGGAACTGTAGCATGAGCACTTGAATCGGTTGCGCTCGTCATTGTGCTTGTTTCCTTCGATGGATTCGCCGACGATCAGGGCTTTAAAAAAGCAGCGTCTCTCCCGTAGCCACTCCTCTTCGGAAAAAAGAAAGTCTAACGTCGTATTCTGCGGGACAGGGCCGCAGGGGCACATTCGCTGCTGGGCCTGTAAGTTCTTCAGGCGAATCCTAGCCTCCCGCGCAATCTCACAGCGCTGGACGGTGCTATTTCGGGACTATCAGGGCATGCTGCACACCGAAATCTGAGTGTGAGCGGGAGCCAAATGCAATTTGGCAATAATTCATATATTCCATGACCCTTGCTGCCGCGAAATATCATTAAATACGGATGGCGGACGGGTACATGGGATCTGGAAGCCTAAACTGGACCCTATACTCCTGTGCTGAGCAGAGTTTATTCGATAACCCCCATGCAGCCAGAACGTTGGATCGCTGTTTTTTCGAGGAAGGGTGAACGGAGTATGTCTGTAGTCGTTTTTTTCTTTTCTTTTTTTTTTGTTTTTTCCTGCGATGACATGTAGTTTAAGTGATGAGATGGATTAACTTAAAACTCGTTCACCAGCGAAGCAGCCTTGCCTAGACCCTGAAATCGCTGGTCGACGGGAGAGCCAACGAGTTAAATTCGTGAGCTTGTTCACCCCCAGACAACAGAGCCCGAAGTCGTATCCTGTTGCAGTAGACGGAGGGCGAGCAGTATATCCCTACGGTCGACCACCCTTCATCATGGTCATCCCTCATCGCTGCTTTCGTCGCCCATTGCCCCCGTAGAGCAGTCGGATGACCGTCGTTTCTGGCGGAGACAGTTATCATTTGATTGTGCTGTGATACCCAACCACCCCCGTTGCTCGCCGGCTTGCTGTTACGTCTCCCAACGGCTACCCCTCCTTTGCAGCGACGTCTCCATGCAATCGTTTGTCTGATGTGCGGCCGAATCTAATCAAAGTTTCCCGTCGAGTTTGGCGCAGGGTTCTGAATATGTGACATCCTTGCTCTCAGCCTCGACTCTTCGCGCAAGGTGTCCTCACCGTGACCCCGTCCGCGAGTCAATGGCGGATATCAGCTCTGCAACCGCTGCAGGAATGCGACGCGGCTGGGGCCAGGACTCCCAGCCGCCGACATCATCGTATGGGCAAGCCGGTGAATCCCAGCCCTCGAGCACCATGCCGGAGTCCCCCAAGCAACGCAAGAGGAGCAGGAAACGCGATTCCGAAAAGAAATTTGAATGCAAGCACGAGGGATGCGGGAAGAGCTACTCAAGAGCAGAGCACTTGTATCGCCATCAGCTAAACCGTACGCTTGATCAGCCCGCGATTCCAACCCCCCTTCCGCTGCGACGGCACCCTCCCGCCGCCCTGCATCACGAAGCAATATACTGACTGAGTCTTTGGATACCTCTAGATAATCCCAAGCAAATATACCGGTGCAAGTTCCCCAACTGCACTCGCGCATTCGTTCGCCAAGACTTGTGCATTCGACACCAGGAGCGTCATAACACCCATGGTTCGCAGCTCCAGAAACGCGATAGTTTCGCAGCTCACTCCGCAAAGGGCGTGGCGGCGACTCCCACGGTTGCTAGCGATACTATCGTCTCCGACCAGGCTGTCGCCACGCCGGTGTCCACAGACAGCGTGACCTCTCCGAAGAGGTCCAATCTCCATTTTTCGCCGTCCCCAGCAAGTACGGCGAATACCACCTTCGCCAGCACCCAAACCTATTCCACGCCGTCTTCTACAACTTCGGCGCCTCTAGAACCAAACTATCCAGCTCCCTCGACTTCCCGGAGAAAGCATCCGGATCCCAGTGGTGTGTACGCAGTTCCTCCGGCGAAACAACAACCCGTCGCAATCTATGAACAATCACATCGTCATCCACATAACTCCTACGGTACTACCTCCACCTACCAGGGTGTATCGTTCAGCGCCCCAGACGTAGCATCAGGGGTGTCCACCACCTCCTCCAGCATCCGGCACCGTCATCTATCTCTCCCGGGACCTACCTCTCACCATAATGCCTACCTATCGCCCTCAAACACAATAAACGGGAGCTCTTCGCCGAATGGCTATCTTCCGCAGCGGAGTATTCAAGTTTCTCCCATGTCTCCTCATGATTATTCAAATACACATCTTGGAGGGCCCACAACTACCACCATAGCAAATGCCATATCCAACGGCTTGGGCACCATTGGCCCGGTTTCTGGCGCCACAATATCAGACCTGGACTCAATCACCCAGTATGCACTCCCAGTCTTTGGTGGTGAAACGTTGAACCGGTCTCCTTTTGCCATGACAGACGATTTTACGGCATGGTTGTTTAATGAGCCCAATTCGTCTTCAGTAGGTTATTCATCTGTTCCTGGAATGTTGTCAAATCCCTCCGATCCGTTCGTTACGCAGCTTCAAAACCATTATTTCCCAGCAGATCCGGCATTTGCCGGTTATTACACCAATGTCATTCAGCAGCAACAGCAGCAGCAGCAGCAGCAGCCACAGCAGCAACACCCAATGAGTGTGACCAGCATACTTGACACGGGCCCGCCACAGTCGATCATTTCTGAGGACAAAAGAAACGAAATTCTGGATCTGATTCAAAACCACTTTAATGAAACCGATCAAGTAGCTTTGAAGAAGCGGAAGGAGTCTTTAGTGGAAGGAAATATGGATGGAGAGAATCATGTTCTCGGTCTTCGAATGATGCAGATTTACGTGAGCTCGTACTGGTACCACTGTCACGATCAACTGCCAATCCTTCACAGACCGACTTTCAGCCCTAGCAAGACGCCTAATTTACTTCTCCTAGCTGTCATGGCTCTCGGCGCATCCACATTGGAGAAAGAACATGGACAAGCAGCAATAGAAGCTGCAGCCGACTTTTCAAACTTTGTCGCTTGGCATCTGCGCTGGGAGATATTTAGGGACCCTGATTTCCGCCCGCCGGCTAAGCTATGGGTTTTCCAGACCCTCCTGCTCCTTGAAACATATGAGAAGATGTTCTCCACGCGAGCCTTGCATGAGCGTGCACATATCCACCACGATACAACGTTGACCTTGATGCGACGTGGAAGCTCTCTTATTGGCAGATCAGCACTTGATTCTCCCCCTAGCCCCCGAGATGATGGGCCGAATAGACCCGGATCTGGGTCTGGGGCAAATTCCACTGCGGAAACTACACCGGGGGAAGAGTCCTGGGTCCGCTGGATAAAGGCGGAAGCCACCCGCAGGGTGGCATTCGCTGCATTCGTCCTCGACACCATACACGCCACAATGTTTGGCCACTCCGCCAAAATGGTTGCACACGAGTTACGGCTGCCACTTCCTTGTGATGAAGCCCTGTGGTCGGCGACAAACGCTGCCGAGGTTGCGAGAGTGCAATCCAGCTTGACGTCAAATGGAGTCAAGCCGACCTTATTTCTGGATGCCTTGAAGAAGACCCTCAACGGGCAAAATGTGCGAACGAATTCATTCGGACGCACAATCATAATGGCCGGGTTGCTAAGCGTCAGCTGGCACATGAACCAACGCGACCTCCAAGTCACCTCTCTGGGCGTTTCTCATACGTTAGGAGGGAGAGACAAATGGCGATCAGCACTCATCCGTGCCTTCGATAACTGGAGGCGAGACTTTGACGAAGCATTGGTCACATCCACTCCGGCCAACAATACGCTTCATCGGAATTCATATGCTTTTGATGGAGATGTTTTCTTTGAATCGCGCACCGTGCTTCATCATTTGGCCCACATGGCGTCTCATGTTGATATTGTCGACTGTCAAATATTTGCAGGCGCCAGTCGTCTTCTCGGGCGGTCTATCACGCCCCGGGACTATAGCTCAGCACGCGAGAAGATGACCGACCGCTGGGCAACAAAGGCGCCCGCCCGGGATGCGACGTTTTATGCCCTTAAATTCATACGCCAGGTGCTTATTCCGAATAGAAACTCGTCACCACGCTGCAGCTACTCAGCCTATGTCAACTCTACGGAATATTCTGCGCGCAACGACTTTCTCCTGAACCGGCCATGGGTCCTTTACTTTGCTGCTCTGGTGGTGTGGTGCTACGGATATGCGCTAGAAGGCCCTATTACCCCTCCAGTTCCGGAGCTGGCCACTTCTGAGGAACAGCGAGAGGACATGCACACCTTTCTCGACGAGGTTGGGGGTGTACAGAGTCCCGTCGAACTGGAGAAAATTCGGGGCCGTAATCGATGCATGGGTCTCTTGATGGTACTCCGCGAGACCTTCTTGAATACGCGGTGGGAGCTGCTGAACGAAGCTGCGATCCTGCTGGGCAGTTGCATCGACAAGCTGAAAGGATCAGCGAATGGGTCCTGACCCAGCATTTCAAGAGGATATTCCTGAAAAATTTTTGGGTTCCTTTTCTGAACACATAGTTTCTCCCAGCTCATATCTTTATGCATATACCTGGCCTTTCTTTCATAATACTTCCCTTAGCATCCAATTCCTTGTGTTGACATTCGAATCTTTTGGGCCTTGGGCATTGTGGCATCGTAGGGCGCGTTCGGTGCCGCGTTTTGGGATCATTCCTTCCTGTATATACATACACACGGGTAGAATATGCGAGATGCCCTAATTTAACTCCTCAAGCCAAACTTTTTCCTCGCTATCTTCCATAATGTTGGTGAACCTTGTAGTTGTCTGGACCTAGAATTGGGTGGTATGTGAGAGTGGGTGTTTTGTTTCCCATGGCAACCAACGCCATCCCGGGCCTCCAGGGGATGTGGAGTGCCACACAGTGATCTCCACAACACTTCACTTCAATCTCCCCAAAAACACTCTGAACCATACCTCAAGTCTTTCTCTGCCACTTTGAGCCGAATAAGAATCTGTGGATTTTAGTTGTTTCGAAGTTAGAGCAACTGAAAACATACACAATGGTGCGTACTCATTTTCTTTTCCAATCAAAAATCGGTGGCAACCCAGAACCAGGTACACTCTATCCCAGTTGTTTCCATGGTTGGCCACCGGACAAGGACGAAGATATGGAACTTTCCAAATCACTTCAGAGCCCTTAGCTGTTTGCTGGCAGTATCTCAGCGATGCGATATCGCCGCGGAAACAGACTGACTGCCTCTGCTGCGACTGCATTCACATCTGGCGCCGATACCAGCAAACAAATCACTGAGTGAACACACGTCTCTCCCCTGTCTTTCTCTCTGCCTCTCTATCCAGTCACTTTCACAACTTCCCTCTCCCCTTCTGAATCGTATCATCCACCACACTTCCTTTCAATCAATCGCAATCATGGGCCGTTCCAAGCAGAATGAGCGTGTTCAGGCTGGCCACCAGCATGATAAACACCAGGAACAAAGTCATCACAAGCAACCTATTCAAGAACCAGAAGCTGAACATGACTACGATGACGAACAGGCCTCTACAAACTACAAAGAAGCATTCTCCCTGTTTGATAAGCGCGGAACCGGCCGTGTTGCCCTCGAGTCGCTCGGAGATCTTTTGCGCGCATGTGGCCAGAACCCCACTCTTGCTGAGATTAGAGAACTGGAGAAGGGGATGGGTGGCGATTGTAAGTTTCTGTCTAGTCTTACGGTCAATATACCTGGTGTTCACTGGGAGGGTTGAACCAAGGCCGCAGGAATGATAGATTTGCTGACGCGGGGGATATTTTTTGGGAATTAGTTGATTTCGATGCCTTCCAGAAGGTCCTTAACCGGCCCGGTGGATTCCGGGACCCGGGCGAACCAGAGGAATATTGTCGCGGTTTCCAGGTCTTTGATAAAGATATGACTGGCTTTATCGGCGTTGGTCAGCTTCGATACAGTGAGATTTAGCCCCTGACCGCAAAAGTTCGTTTTGTTAGGCGTGCCGGTGGATTGCTAATGGTCCGAATTCGCGACAGTCCTTACAAACCTCGGCGAGAAAATGTCCGACGAAGAAGTCGACGAGCTTCTGAAGGCTGTTGATACAAGCTCCGGAGAGATCAACTACACCGGTATACAACAATTTCTCAGTGCTCCTTTCTATATGCAGACTACTAATATATTTCGCCCATAGAACTCGTCCGAACCATCCTTGCCAACTAAATATCAGCGAGCCTTTCGAACAGTATGACATTTTATGGACGATGATATGATGTATTTCCTGGGTTTCATGGTTATTTCTCGCTCTGCTTACCCGCTGTTGTCCTCGTCCGATAGACCTACGATGCGACGTTCGCAGAAGTTCTCAGCTGTTTTCGGCATGGCGATATAAAGTCATGGCATGACGGAGGGTTATTTTGTTTTTATCATTTGACATGCATGTTTTACCTTGTGATGGGGCGACACGGCGGGTCGGTGTATTGGTTATCATGGGTACTGGTTCGATGGGATAAATTATGATTGTTAAGACGAAGATTTGATAATCGTGCATTACCATTAATGGCCTTGCATTTTCGAGCCCTTGCAGTTGCTTGGTGGTACGAGCACCACCCGCTCTTGATATAGATCAAAGCTGGACCACGCAGGCCATGTTGCTACAGGGTTATGCGTGGGCGTACGTAGTTGTATGCAGCAACAACCTTAATGATTTAGCAGTCGATATCCGCTGCATGCTCTTGCGGCTCCCTCCAGGGAAAAACTCTCGATCACAGCGGGTTCTCAAAATCCACGTTGCATTCGCTTCAAAATCCCAATAATCCCCAAACCGTCGAATCAGCCTACGTCTCCTTCCCAGACGCCAACTCCGCCCATTCCGCCCACTCTTCCCTCTCAGCCACAATTTCCCTCTGCCCCATATCCGCTGTCTCCACCACCGCACCAGGAAGCAAATAAACGACCTTTGGCATCTCTCTCTGTCCACGCCCCTCGTCTTCTTTTTCCTCGTGTGCACCCTGCTTCTTCCCCGCTGAGAAATGTATATCGTCCAAAAGGTATGCCACTATAACTCTGCACCTTCCACAGCGAATCAACCAGCGTTTCTCAAACCCATCGGCGCGACGGACCATGAGAGGTTTGCGATCCGGTGCAGTAGTGGAGAGTAGGATCGTGTAATCTTCATCCTCGCTTGACTTGGTTCTCCGCGCACGCTTTTCTTTGCTTTCTTTCCATCTTTTGGGCGCATCGTCGCGAGGACCCTGTGATGTGCTTGGGTTTTGCGCTACTTCTTGTTCCTGTCCTTGTTCTTCTTTTGCTTCTTCGCCTTCTTTCTCTTCCATTTGTTCGGGATCGGAGTCTGAATCTGCAGAGGACGAAGTGGTGCGTGTGGGCAGGGGGACAATCAATGCCCGATCCAGTGATGGCTCCTTTCGACGCGGTAAGGAGAGTATATCACGGGTGCTCCCAAGAAGGAGATGACTGCAGAAAGTACAGTGGTAAGTTCGGATGGGTTTCCGCTTGCTGCGGGCTGGTTCTGCCATTGTCGGCCTCGGTGGTTTGCTCGGCTTGTGGGTTGGAAGATAGTGTAGAATGGGTGGGATTGGGATCTAGTGTAGATTAATTAGATATTGAAGATGTGATTTTCCCACTAAATAAGTTGGAGAGGATATCAGCGAGTGAGACTGTATTAATATCACTCAACAGGCGGCTTCTGGGTTCTTTTGTCCGCAATGCGCGACTCGGGCTCCTTATCGATAAGAGGCTGGTCACATGATTAGGTTAGCCCTCCAGCTTTGATTCAGAAGTGCTCGTTCCAGCGACTTTACATAGGATTACGTGCAAGGAGGGTTGCATGACACTAGGTTTATCATTTATTCGTGGTCCATCTAAGAGAATGTCTCAAAAATAGCACCATTTTTGGTATCTATGCTCTTGTGTTGGCGGAAGGTCCCGCTGTTACAAACAAGAATGCAATGTTTCTGCAAGATGGACTATTCGTATCCACTTAGGCTAAACCAAGCTCTTTGTAGAATGCATCTGGCTTAGGTTCGCGACCAAGGAACTCCTTCAATGTCTCCATCTCGTCCTGGCTCCCGCCTTTCTCAAGCACGGTGTACCTATACCTTCGGCCTTCCTTTTTGTTCATGGGTTCATCCTTGAACACGCTATAGAACATGTCTGTCGAATATACTTGGGAGCTGCAAAACGACAGTTAGATTGTGTACATTTTACATGCATAAGGATATTCGTCATACCTAAGGTAACCATAATACCCAGCGTCATAGCCCCCAATAAGGTGACCGAAGGTTGCTTGGCCGTGTCCCCAGTTGTAGCCAAGGCCAAGAACTTCAGGGCCCTCAAAGTTTGTAATCTCCTTGCGAAGAGAGTTGTATTTCTCTGAAACGTCCAACTTCTGGATCGCGTCATGGTCCACAGGCTCATGCACGGCCATGTCGAAGATGCCAAAGTGAAGCTGTCTAAGATTGAACAATGCATCATTTACATGCTTGGTCTTAATCAGGTTTTCAATGAGTTCGTCAGGGATCTGTTCCGAAGGTCTAGGTTTATCGCCAGCCTGCTCCTTCCAGGCCTCGAGATACTCAGGCGAGAGATACGAGAAATGTTTGCTGAGCGATTTAAGCTGCGACGGTGTCCAGCACCAGTTTTCAAGCATCTGGCTGGGAGCCTCAACAAAGTCACGAACAGTGTTGGTTCCATGGAAGCGGGAATATGTGGTCTTTGAGACGAGGTCGTGGATACCGTGGCCCAACTCGTGGAAGAGCGTCACCACTTCGTCGTGCTTGAGCAAGCTAGGTTTCTTAGGCGTAGACTTTGAGAAGTTGCATACCAAAGCAGTTGCTGGATATCTACGTTTTCCGTCCTTGTCGATGAAACCCTAACGCTACTTGTCAGTGACTCTCTCCTCCAATTGAAAGGGAGCTGGCGTACCGGCTGTAGATTGAAGTTCGCAGCGTGGCCATATTTGCCCTCTCTTGGGAACAGATCGAGGTAGAGGTACCCAACGAAACCACTGCCCTCGCCTTCGTCATCCCACACACTGAAAACCTGGACATCCTCATGCCAGACGATATCGTCTCCCTTACCGGTTTCAGAAAGCTTACTTCGCTCTTCTCCTTCAATTTCGACAAAGACAAGGCCAAAGAGATCTTCAAAGATCTTCAACATGCCACGGATAGTGGTCTGCAGCGGGAAGAACTCCGCGATCAATTGGTGATCGAGCTGATAGTCCTTTTCCAGCATCATGCGATCGTAGAAGCGGTGGTCCCATAAGAAGTAATGGCCATCAGCCTCTTGGCTTGGGGTTCGTGACTTGAGGTCCTTGGCCTTGAGTTCCTTAAGCTTCTCAATCTCCTTCTGGCCACCGTCCTTCAATCTAGCGCGAAGATCTCCCAAGAACTTATCGACTGTTTCTGGTGTCTTTGCCATCTTATCTTCAATACGGAAGGTTGCATGATTCGGGTAGCCGAGCAATCGTGCAGCTTCATCTCGAAGGATAATCGCTTCTTTAAAGAGAGGCACATTCTGATTGCACTTGTTCTCGTTCGCAATCATAACCCGCTTCCTCACATCCGCATTCGTAGCATACTTTGTCAACGGGAATAAATCCGGATACTTGAACGTCAAAAACAATTTCCCTTCATTCTCCCCCTCCCCTTTCTTCAAACCAGAAACCACATCCTCAGGAACGCCGTGCAACTCCTCCCTCGTCAGCCACACGCCACCTTTCTCCTCGTTCAGATTCTTCTGAAACTCGATAGCGATCTGACTCAACCTCTTCTTGATCTCTTTGAACCGATCCCTCTTCGGGCCCGCAGGCAACCCCAGCCCATTCCGAATATAATCCTTATGCTCCTTCTCCAATAATCTCTGCGACTCCGGCTCCAGCTTCTCCCCCTTCTTCAGCACCGCATCCACCAGTTTGAATAGATCCTCACGCATAGCCGACTCGATGGCAAAGTCATCCATCAACTTCTCCGCCTCGGTGGACGCATCGCGCAACTTCGAGTCCGTCGACACCGCCTGGTAGAAGCCCAGGATATGAGACTCCAGCGCCATGGAATTCTCGTCGTGTGCCAGCGGCAGCAGTACCTTGGCGAAGTCGGCCGCCTCGTGAGAGACATTCTTCGCTACGGCATCTTGCACTTTGCGGGATTGCTCGATGAGGCGTTTGGTGTCGTCTACGATGGACGAGGGCGTTCCCGTAAAGAGTGGTGGTGCCTGGGGCGGGCTTTTGAGGTGTGAAGGGGCCATGCTTGCGGTCGTGAGGGGCAGTCGACTGGAGGTGAGAGTAGGCGGTCTGAAAGGGTGGGTTGAGGTCTGAAAGGTTGCTGTGGATGTTGGCCGTGGTCGTAGGTGGCCGAACAGGAGCCTGGAGGCGGGGAGGCGGAGTGAGGGAGCCAGGATGAGGGCGATTCCGATGAAGAGGGGCAATGTGAGCCAGAGGACGGAGCAGGTGCAGCGGGTGATGCGAGCCAGTTTGGTGGTTTGGAAGTTACTTCTTCTCTCCGGTTGGGTAGCAAAAGCGTCGTCGCACGGGGTGTGGGGACGGGGCAAAGAGTGATGATAAAGACAGAGCTTAAATGACAGACTCTTACAGGCTGCAATTGCGCGCAAACTCTGCTGCTCTTCGTGGGCGTTATGGTGTATGTGTGAGCTGCTTGTTCAATCATTCAAAGTCTGCCTGTCCTTCGGTGTTCTCCAAGACCAGATAAGCCGAACATCCTGGCACAACCGACCATCAGCTGACCACTGAGCTGGTAATTGTCGAGGCAGATGGAAAAGCTGAAGTCAGGAGTCGATGCTTTTCTCTGACTTCGCTGCTGAAACTCTTTGTGTCCAGCACAACATTCATTCCATCACGAGTCCACCGTGCTGCACTTCAACACTGTTTGAGAGAGTACATACATCCAACCCTACAATCCTCCACTTCCATTGAGATCTTTTGCATTGCTGCTGGCCTCGCACCAAGGCACTTCAATGACTTTTTTAGTTCTTAAAGATAACAAACTGTGATGATTCTTATTCTGACAATGTACGGTTAATAAGTTCAACACCATCTAACAACCCTTTTTGCAGCAAGATGAGAAAAGCACCGGATCCTTCCAAACCAGAACTCCCAAAGGAAAAAAAAAAAAAAAAAGGAATAGAGAAGAGCGATGAGAGAAAAACAATGTGGTACATGAAGAGCAGGGAAAAACAAAGAGGATACAGGATACATCAGAAAACACTTAATCGTAACAATTTTCCCCTTTTCTTTTCCCTTTTCTTTTTTTGACCTACACCAAGCAAATGTTATCCATCCACCCTGGTATGGCATTGAGTTTTCTCGGAAGTGTTTCTAGGTCAGGAGGACGGAAATATCGGGGGACAAAACGAGGACATTAAATAAAAAAAGGCAGGATGGAAGAGAACAATGCACATAAGCCTTCAGCTATGTACGGCCGTAATCGTGTCGCCAATTATTACAAGGGATCAAAAAGGTGGAGAACAAGTCGATAGAAGCATGCGGAGACACGGATAAGAACAGATTAGGCAGCGCCGGCGCTTGGGACTGGCTCGGGGAGCTTGGTCACTTGCTCGCCCGCACGAATGATTCTCTTTCCATTAGCGTCACGGACGGATTCGACATCCTTATTTTCCTGCTGGGCTCTCTTCCAGATCTCGACTTCGCAGCCACCTCGGATAACACCGACACGCATCGTTGACAGGAGGTTGTGGGCGGCGTTGGAGTGATTGTAAATACCACCGTTGAACATGGCGGTTGCGTCCTTGCCAATACCGGAGTTGATCATGGCCTTGCCACCTGGGTGATCCTTGATGAAATCGGTAACGTCATGGACGACTCCTGCGACGGCAATAAGGCCACGACCATTCTTGGCCTGCTCGACGTACTCGTCCCATTCCATGACTGGCAACTGTTCAAGAGGAATACCCCAGTCGAGTTTAGCACGTCTTTGGTCGATCTTCTTCTGGAGCTGCTGGAGGCGTCCCTTCTCGATTTCGTTGGCGCGGAACTGCTTCAAGTCGTATGCGAGTCCGACTTGCTTCCAAACCCAGATGATCCATTTGGTTGGGTCATACTGATACCATTCGAGGGCGTTGCGGTAGTCAGAAGGGAATTCGTGGTGGAAGTTGTGATAACCTTCACCCATGGTGATCAAGGCAGTCATAACGTGGTCACGGGGAGAGTTGCGGTCATCGAAGGGCTGTTCTCCCAGGTAATGGGCCAAGGAGTTGACGCAGAAGGTAGCCTGCTGGACAAAGAAGATTCGAAGGATACCAGCATAGATGAAACCACCCCACCAGTCTCCCCATCCGAGTCCACTGACAAGCATAGGAACAATCAACCCCATTGTGATGACGACCTTGAGGTAGTTTCTGTGCTGCCAGACGACGACTGGGTCCTCGTTGAGATCGGTGATGTCAGTGCGGCCAATACGTCTTGGATTCTGCTTCATGATCATCCAGCCAATGTGGGAGTACAGGAGACCCTTGCGGACGGAGTAAGGGTCCTTGTCGGTATCCGTATAGCGGTGGTGGGCACGGTGATCACGAGCCCACCATCTGACCGATCCTTCGACGGCACCTCCTCCAACGGCAGCCAGGTAGATTCTCAAGGGAAGGGTGGCAGAATACGAGCAGTGAGCCCAAAGACGATGGTAACCTGAGGCGTGCGTCGGTTAGACCTGAATCTTTAACGGGCTCGACCGCATCGACGGGGGAAGACATACCAGCGGTGATACCAATACCGGTCATATAATAATACGCAATAGCCCAGATAGCGGTCTTGAGCTGGAGGGGAACCCAGAACGCTTGAACACAACCATACAGAGGAATGAGAAGGATCAGCGTGACGTTCAGCCAGTTAACATGCTTGTGCCAGTTCGACCAGGTCATTGGCGTCTCTGTGATATGAGGCTTCTTGATATCAGCACCGGCAGGGCGAGCCTTGGAGGCATCTGCAGCCACGGCTGGGGCAGCCATGGTTTCGGTAGGACGTGTCGATGGAGTTGAGGATGCGATCGAGGACGATTGAATGAGAGACTCTCTTAGGTTGTGGAAGGGGCACAAAGGGATCGAGGAGATCAGGAGGAGGGTTGTGGGAAAGAAAGGACTGGTGATATGAGAAAAAGTGGGTGAGGTCAGGATGAGGGAAGGAGGTCAATAAATTCCCACTCCTTGTCCGCTCCGTTCCCAAGGTAAAAGAGCAAATGGAAGTGGGAACGAAAAAAAGATAAATATTGTGCCCCCAGGCGGCTGCCACAAACAAGGTCCACAACAGATTTGTTGAAACTGCAAATTCAGCTTCTTGTTGACCACAGACACATGCCAGGAGGATACAGAAAGAGGAAGAAGAAAGAAAAGTGGCGTCACTTTTTCAAACTGTTTTTCTTTCCTTCGCTCGGCATTCTCTGGTTGATCTATCTGTGTATTACAGGGATACATCTGATCTGGAGCGAACTTTGAGCACACACATTGTTGGTCTTGTTGGGGGTGAGGAACAAGGCCGAAGATTACTAGCTCCCGGTATTTTTTCACTCCGTCCACCCTGTAAGGTCAACAAGCACTGTCCTCGACAACCATCAGCACTTTGTACTCCTGGTGTGATAAATACTGCTCTGGCAGACTTCAACAGCTAGAGATAACAGCAGTTCAGAAATCTGCAAAAGGGTCCTTTTCTTTTCTTTTCCTTTTTTTTTTTTTTTTCTTTTTCGCTTTCCCCGTCCAGGCGAGCTCAAACGAGTACCACACCGAGTTACAGAAGAACAGCGAGGTACCTCGTCCCCAACAACTTTATGTAACAGAAAAACTTACATAAGTATAACAGTCTCCACGCTCCGGACTCCGTACACCGAACGTCATGTATTTCGGGGTCCTCGTACCATCGTCCTTGGAATAGATCATCCTTCGCCTCTTTGTTGACGAATTCGCCCCATCAGAGGAACAAACCGCAAACCAGCCCTTCGACTGTCAAACCCAACTGCTGTTAACTCACCACTCATCGCAAAGAAAATTCCAACGCAAAAATGATACTTCCACCTGGCCGGGAGGGCTGAAGAACGAGTTTGGAAGGCCGCCGCCGCTCCTCACCGGCCGCTGCTTAGCTTCCCCCAACAGATTTCGACCCGCCCCACCGCATCGCGTCTCCCATTGGCCGTGGTGAATTTAGCTCGTGGGGCCCGTGTGCGGTAAGGTTGCGCTTACCCCGGTTGAGCACTTCCTTTTTTCCAGCCTTAATGCCAAGCGCTGATTGGCTGGGCCCTTGCGTCGGGAGCTGTTGGAATGCGAATACGACGGGTGTTTCGACGAAATTGGGGAGGCGCGATAGACGGGGGACTGTGCCCATGCCGAGGCACGTGAAGCCATCGAAGCCCGCAGGTTCGACAGATACAGTAGGCGTCTTTTGAGAAGAGGAAGGTGCTACCTGTGTGGTTGTACATACTCTCTACGGGGTGTACGGAGTACGGCATGCGATAAGGACGGGATGTGCACGTGTTCCTGTGACCGAATATGAGGTACTATGCAGTTCACAGTTATATGCCTTCATGCCCTCTCTTGTAGAGTGACTTCTTGCTGGCATGACAGTCGCGTTCAAAACGACGGGCTTATTCGCATCACAAACCCGGGCCATTCGGCATCAAGATAATAATGTGCGTTGTCTCCGGGCGTATTCTGGACTTTCTCCGAGCCCACCCCAACCGTTTTTTGTTACTCGTTACCCCGGATTCGCCCCCTCAGCCATCCTTTCCTCCGTCACCACTACGGAGCACAGAGTCGAGATAATCTATATATCCTCACGCTATCTGTCCTGAGCTGAGCCCCGTCATACCATCCAGTATCGAAAAATTCACAGACATCCAGGAGGACGCGCAATGCTAGAATTAAAACCCCATCCGTCAGGCAAACGACCACGGAACATCTGGGAGCACTGGACTATTTTTGGTGATAGGAGAGTATGGCATTCAACTAAATGGCGGAGGTCCACGTCAGTCATAAGGCCAGCCCTTGCTGTTGAACGATAATAGCTTGAAACGTGGTCTGGGAGTATGACAGCATCGGGGAAACCTGACTTGTCTTGTCCCAGTGCCGATGATTCCGCAGGGCTATAATTAGTCTTTACTGTCATGCAGCAACAAGCCTTTCAACCCACATGCAAGCGTATGCCTCCAGAATGTCCTCGTGGCCCTGTGCCTTGTTGATAATGGATGAGACCACCAGGGCGCATTGTATGGGAGACCATTTGCATGGCGCTCGTTAACTCTGCATGTAGTCTTCTTGCTCCAGTCATGTCATGTCATTCATAGACTGCCTCGTTGTCGAGATGCTGGACAAGAAGTTCCACATCCGGTTCAACTCGGTTGGACGGCGTTCTGGAGCCAATCGATATCATTTCGTCGACGTCGAACTCGCTCTCGCTATCTGGAACTTCGTAGTCTTCCTCGGTGGCACCTGGTAATGGATCGAGGATTTCGTCATCGTCATCGTCCGCATCCGGACTGACGATCTCGATCGTCGGCTCCAGCTTAGGTCTATGACTCGGAGTACTATCGAACTCGTCAAGTTTCCGCTTTTCCATGCCACCATGGGGCGTACTCTGTTTCATAGAGGACGGTATGGAAATAGATTCCTCGTCCAGAAACTCCTGGAGACCGGTCTGGATAATGTCATCGTCAGCAGAAGCGCCCCGCCTTCCCACTTCATTCAGCTGAATTCAATAATCAGGACTCGCCTTTCCAACTACAAAGGGAACAATCCGCTTCGCCGATCTCCCCATAAGTGTCATTCCACCAACCTTCTGTACCTCCGCAATCCGAACGCCCTTTCCTTTTGTTGTCTCTCGCATCTCCCACGGCAGCCAATGCCAGTATAAAAGAACTCTTGTCGTAACGCCAGCGTCCCAGGTAAACCCCGAAATAACCTCGTGGAGCATCGGTCTCGTCGATGGTTTGAACCGCGAGGCCATCTCATTGATAACAACAACAGCACAGTTGAAGCGAACGGCGAGTCTTCGTAGATCAGACACTAGGCTTCCAATAAGGTTGAAGTACAGTCTCGACTCCTTGTCCAGCTTGGCCTGCTCCGTGCGGGATAATTTCGTCTCGCGGAGTCGTTTGGGGAGTCTGGGTCGGAATTCAGCTGCAAAGAGGCACGAAATCGAATCGATCACAATCAGACCTGTGTTCTCAGGCGGAAACCCACGGGGTGGATGGGAGACCAGGGCCACGAGATGCGCCAGGGAGAGCGGATGGAAGTGTAAGAGCCTTTGAAGAAGATGGCTTTTCCTGCCCGTCGCTTGGGATGGTCCGTCCTCAGTGACGTTCTCCTTGCCGTGCAGCAACGACTCCAGGCGAGAGAGACACATTGGGCCCGCGGTATCTGCATAATAAAGTCTCAGCAAAAAGCAAAAAGAACTGTAGAACTAAATCACATAACGCGTAGAAAGACGAGAACCTACCGACCCACACAACGCTCCGATGCGATCGCAACACCTCCGCGGCCAAACTCATCCTATCAACAATCCCCATATGTCAACACACATCTTCTAACGGGGCCGCAAAACAATCCAAAAGGGTTAAGTGATAGAAAGAACAATAGCAACTCACGCTAGTACCGTCTTCCCCGACGCTCTAGGTCCCACAATCTCCGTCACCTCTCCGCGCTGAACTCCCCCCGCAGGCCCATCTCCGCCGGCGGAATCATAGAGACACCGCTGGCTCAAACCAAGTCCCAAAGGTGAGGGTTGCGGCTCCGTCGGCAGGGCCAAGGCGACATCTAAGCGCTGAAGGCCGGTCGACACACTCCCGCCACTACCCAGGGACACGGGGGGAAGACCAAATTTGGTGCACGACGCGTCGCCAAGTGGACGCAAACGGGCTGGTTACAGCAGTTAGCTCGTGATGAAGGGGGGGGGGAAAAAAAAAAAAGAAAAAAGGCTGCATAAGAGACCGCGAGGTCGAATACGTACGGCTTTCGGGACTGGAGAAATGGGCGGTGTCTTCGATGGTCATGGTATGATGTGCTATACCGTCCAGGGCATGTACTTTTGAACTTGATTCTGCACTCGGATTTGAGACGCGTCTCTTCAAAAGGGCGATAACACAACTACTTACATTGCTGGGCTCAACTGCAGTCACAAAGATAGTACGAATCGATATGCAAAGGCCATATGTAGCTAAAGTTTAATGCTCCTGAGAAGCCTGCGGGTGTCTTAAGGAATCCTTCCCGTCGCGCGTCTGTCTGTGCTGGATGTCCTCCGTAGAAAGACTAATAAATTAAGCTACGTTAACTACCAGAATGATGGACCAAAGATGGAGATCAGGGCTCTTGCAGATCCTCGGCGCCACCACCCCAAAGTACTGTACTTCGCTCACTCCTGAACGAACCAAGTCGTTCATGTCGGCTCTGTCGCACAGAACAAGGGCGGATGCCGACCTGGCGAGCTTTTCGGCCTGCTACGGCTGCCGCCAATTCTTGTGAGACAACTCTCTGCTCTTCATACTTTTCATGGGCGCCATGTGGCGCCGGTCATCCGCAAGGACTTGCCTTTAACCGGCACCAGGCGGATCAGATCCCGAGAGCTGGTGGTCGCAAATTCAATTCGTTGAGGCTTGCCGAGCTTCCCTAGCTGGCCGTGACACCGCGCCCTTCACAACAGCTCGTCTTCTCGATGTTTGGAATCATCGCATGGACGAGTGACGAGCACATTACGGAGTACATATATTATTAATCACGATGGCGAGTTTTTTGAGAGAAACTCCGGCTTCGGTTGGCTTTGAAAGTCCGTTCCATTGGGTTGCACCGCTGTCGAATTCGGCGACATCGACTACTTAATACGAGTCGCCCCGTGGGTTGGCAAAAACTATTCACGGTCAAGGCCCTCCCTTCTCCAACGAATTTCTGGGAACCATGACTCCTCGAGAGACTGACACATACAGATACTCATTCACCTTTCTCACGTTCTGTCCCTCCGAGCCACTGAAATCACGCTTTTGCACAAAGCAAAGCTAACAAAGCAAGCCGCCAAAGTGTCTTACGGAGAAACTCTGGCCGGGGCTCTCCAAGGGTCACTTGCTGTTGAAAGTGCCAGCAAAGCCCTTGAAACATCTCAAAGGATTCCTGCCTCAAGATTAACATATAGCTCTCTAGTTTAGATCTCGCCTTTTCTTTTCTTCTTTTTTTTTTTTTCTCCCGGGCCTCCAACAATCGATATGCTACGGTTGACGGGGGTTATACCTCGCTTCGGCCTCACCGTTTCCGTTTCCCTCCTCATCGTTTACTTTATCTGCGTCGCACCCCTTGCTTTCCTTCTTTACATCGAACTCACAGATCGCCGCTATCGATCTCGACAGCCGAGAGGATGCCGGAAACTAGGACTGAAATCCTGTTCCAACTTAGCCGATGAACATTCCTACAACACGCGGGGGGTACATAAACGCTCCAAGGATCATGCGGGGAAGAAGATCAAAGTCAAGGCTCTCATCGTTTATCCTATTAAGAGCTGCGCCGGGGTGGAGTTCAACTTCATTGATGGCACCGACACGGGCTTGATGTACGATCGCCAGTTCGCCTTCGCGGAGTACGTTGAGACCCGGAACGCCGAAGGAGAGTCAAAGACGAATGGGTCAGCTGAAAAGAATGCCACCACCGGCCGTTGGGACTGCCGCACCCTTCGCGACGGCAAATTCAGCAGAATGGCCCTTGTCCGGCCGGAGATCTGGATTCCAGATCCTTCATTGCCATCGTACTCTCCCAAGGCTCCTGCGGTCCGTTCGAAGGGTGTCCTGGTGATCAACTACCCCAGAATCGCGACGAGTTTCTTGACCAAACTTGGCATGAAGCTCAATCTCTGCTCGCGAGAGGAATCGTTTCAAGTACCACTCTACCCGCCGGATGGCGAGTACCCTTCCATTCCATTCCGCATATTCAGAGACACACCCAACGCCTACAATTATGGCGACCACATCCCTTCTTCCCTGGCTACCTTCCTCGGAAGCACCAAACCACTCTCGCTATTTCGCGTTGATCCGGATCACTACCGCCCCGTGCGCGGGAACGCGCCACCCGCAGCGGACCTCGGATTCGAGCCAACGATGGGTTTTCCGGATGAGTACCCGGTTCAAATGCAAAACCTAGCCAGTATCAGGAACATCGCGGAACAGGTTCGGTACGCAATTCCCAAGTTTTCTGTCCGCAGGTTCCGGCCGAATATCGTGCTTGAAGGATTAGAAGCGTACGATGAGGATGACTGGAAGCGCATTCGCATCGTGCAGGGTCCACGGAGCAGGAAAGCGCCTCCTTCATCTGCCGAAGGCGATCGAGGCGATGAACGCAAAGACGAAGGAAAAGGTGTTGATGTCATAGTTGCGTGTCGCACCGTGAGATGTCGGCTCCCGAACGTTGACCCAGACACGGGCGAGAGACATCAGGTCGAGCCGGATAAGACGCTGAGGTCGATGAGGAACATCGACGCGGGGGCGGGGAAGAGTGGGTGTTTGGGAATGATGCTTGTGCCTGTTGCTCGAAGTAAGTACATACATACTTACATACATACTTTGTATGGTCCTGGAAAAATGGAAGCTTACCTGCTGTTTAGAATTCACTCTCCATGTCGGTGATGAGATCGAGGTCCGAGAGAGAGGAGAGCATTTCTACGTCAAAGGTTGAAATGGGCCTGATCTATTTTTCTTCGAGGTCAACCGGCAAAAAGGGGGTTCTCATTTGCCGGCATTATATTATTGTTACATGCCGGGGCATTTGCGTATTTATTCCAGACGGCACTGTAGAGGCACGTTTTGCATGAGTCTGTGCCATTTTAACAACGCATCTCCAGCGCTCTACGGTTTCTTTGCACAGTGCACGCACATACGTACGGTTTTTCAACAATATTACCCTCAACCAAGTACTGTACATAAGGGACTTCAAAGGGAACCTCAAGAGAACAGGATCGTACTTTATGTCTCAGACGAATCATGATTCTTTTAGGAGGAATTTGACCAGTCAAAGACACTGCCGGTACAATTTGACTTGATCGACAGCCCTCGTTATCACCATTCCATGTCACTTCTCTCTCCTTTTTGGACGTATGCATATGAAAGCACGCCTATCGCTGGACAACAGGGTGCCGATTTCAGGTGACGTTTTCTAGTTCCAGCCAGGTAGTATCGATCGCTGGGTCAGTAGGTTCCCCCGTAAAATACGCCTGGCTGATAGTTAATTCTTCGAAAAACGGGCGGGGAAATACTGCGATACGCCTTGCCTGATTGTTCAAGGGGGGCCGGGTTATCAGTGGTTATCAGCGATAGCAGAAAAAGAAAAAGAAAAACAGAAAACCTCCCTGGATGGTGAGCTGAACCTGGTCACATAACATCAGCAAAGCGAGGCAGATTCGCGAAAAGTTGGTTCCCGCTGCAGTGATATGAAAGGCCAGATAAAGATTTCGCCAAGCTCTCCTCGAGTTCTGCAGGGTTGTACGGAGTACTCCGTAGACTAACTGGTTAACTAAATCCCCGGATATTCAATTCGAACCTTGCAGACCAAATTTCCTAGGTGTAACCCCGTGTACAATGGCCTCTTGTGATACACCTTTTAACTCTTATCCCCCTTGGGTTTCATCTGTCTCAGATAAGATCTCCATGGAGTGAATGGCGAGTTACCGTTCGGCAAAGGGGCCTTTGAAAGCCGCCCATCATTTAGCCGGCGCGGCGTGGGGTAGACAGAGTCCGCACACAGCATGACGGGAGCTTGGTCAGGCGTCAAACTATCATTCTCAGACTCGATTTGCTTCTCGCTCCATCCCCCTACTGGTGGTCAGCATGTGAAGCACGGACGATTTGGCGTTGCAGGCATGCAGATGCGTCCGGTGGTGATCAGGAAGTTAGCTTTTGTTAGCTTTGCACGGGGACTGAGAATCAGCGGCAATCCGCCGACAACCGCGGCCATCCCACCACCACATCCTTCTCCCAGGGCGCGTGCGCCACGGACAAGCAGACAAACACCAACCGAAAAAAGATAAACTAAATTAAATGGGGGAAGAGGAGCCATGAGAGGACTTAACCGCTCCACAGGAGGTGGGGAATTCCGCTTGGGCGAGCTGCGTACAGTATGTATCCTGCTGCATGCGGAGACCCGTGGAGAAAAGAAAGGAGATGGGCGCGGATTAGCGCGCATTACCCCATAGCCGCCCACTCCCGGCGCCTCCATGTGATGCCCGATGAAGCATGGATCCGTGGTTATCTCGGATTCTCCCCAGCTCGACGCCTGTTTGCTCGGCGATCGGGGTAGACCTTCTCCATACGGCTCTCTCTCCCCCTCCCCCCTTTTTCGATATGCGCGTGGAGCACGCGGCAGGTGGACTGTGTGATTGAGCCTTGGGAGTTGCTGTCCGGGATGTCTCATCAGTCGTGCGCCGATAAGCTTCCGCCCCCGGGATGTCTGACATCTCAGTTACATGCCGATCCCCCGGAGTGAAGTGCAACAGTGCCGCGGTTGCAAACCGAGGCCCATCCCATTCTGACCTTGGTCTCCGGCCGTGATGAAGAGAGATCATCGGAATATTTGCCGAAAAGTCGTCGCACCTCTTCGACATCATTACGCCTGCAGATTCAATAAGAGATATAGCGATTTAGAAGATATATTTCGGATCTTGCATCGAGTTTCGCATTCATTGAAGAAACCGGGCAGCCAAACTTTGCCCGGTGCTTTACCTTTCTCCAGCTCATCTGACCATTGATTAATCCATTTTGAAGCAAGATTGTGGAGATCGCAGTTTTGAATAACCAATATCAGGATAGGCCTGCTTTCTGCTGCTAGTGTGCATTCCCAGTCAACAATGCCTTGAAGTTCTCAATCATCATCAACCAGAATATTGTTCCAAAGAGAGATCATCGTGTAGTAACACTGTCGGAACCTTGGAATCTGTGCATCTTTGCTGCCACTCTGCTTTACGATCTGCAAATATCAAACTCGAAGTCTTGAATAAATGTTTAACAACTAGCAATATCGTCTCTGCTTCTTTGATATCATCCTCATCATTAGTCTCTCTTCTTGTCTTCTCACAGTCAATCTGATTGAACTGTAATCTCGCTTGAAGCCACTCAGTGCTCGAATTGAAGGGCCCGCGATGGTCATAGTAGTAGAAGTGATTGTTTCAAAAGAACTGCATTGAAACAATTCTGCCCAATTGCCATACTGCTTTGCAAGGAAGTGATTTCCAGCCCCAGAAACTTTTCTAAAGAACAACTCAGCAGAGCAATATGCTATTTTTGCGGATAGCTTCTCCTTGTGCTCCCATGTCATGGATCTCCAGAGCATCTGCCAGAGTCTAACTCGAATCTAGTTGCTAACTAGTGGGGTGAAAACTTGAAGGGGGGGGGGGGGGGGGGGCGCGCATCAAACGATATGATATAGACGCTTCTCTGCACATAAAACTCTCGCCTTTCCATTGGGAGCTTGGAGGATTCAAAGCGATTCGTCCGCAATCTCAGAGATCTTTCATAATTAACTAGTTGTTTGGCTATGGAGATATTACGTTTGTGCAGTTAGGATTCTTGCCTCACCATCAATCTCTGGTAAAACTCTTTCGTCCATCCGAGATTCAACATCGTGGCATCTTGTCAAAGCCGACCCCTTTCGAGGTTCTTCAAATCAGCATACATAAAATTTCCAGCACTTCGTCAAGGCCCTTAACGCAACCAACCCTCTAAGCTCTCTAACAATTCTCCTATGCATCTTATTCCTCAAATTAGGTTTCTTTTTCAATAGGTCGATTGTGCAAAGAATGAAGCCATTGTTTTGGGCCAGTAACACAGAAAGCACATTCCGCTGCCGCCCACTCCGAGTTCTAGCTACTATTTCACCGCATGCAGAGGGTTCTCGAGGACAGGGCCATACTGAATCGAACTATGACTGTTAATTGAGCCGTCAAAATTCTGGCGTCTCACCAATTCTTGATGTGGATGACACTACCGTCGATATGACGAACCGTGAACTTCTCCGCAGTACGCGATTATGCGAGTTGCTGTTAGATGTCTGCAAGGTCCCCCTTTCTCCATGGCTTGACCCATAAGTCATACAAGTCTGCTGCGCTCTGGCTGCTAGTTTTCCAATGCGAGCGCACGTAGTCAAGCAATGGTTCTAAGAGCTGGCCCGGTCCATCTTGTGGACCTCGGCATAGTTAACTATTGGGGCGATTTAATCGCCCAACAACGCTCAATATAGTGAAGTTACGGGAGCATTTTGACGTTCAGACAAGAGCCGGAATCAGGCCATAAAATGGGATATTGTGGAACCCCCTAAACAACCGTAACAGGCCCGAAACGGTTTATATCAAAATCTCTGTTTATCTGTTAGCCAGGAACGTGATCTATCCATTATTCGAGTGACTGGCTTGTTGACTGCGGGCTAGGTGGAGCTTTTGCAGGATATTTGGCGTTTGTACGGAGTAAAGTCTCTTAATACAATGCTACCTGTACGCACGGGCGACTGGACCTTCTTCTTTCCAAAGTGGCACGGGGGCGTACTTTTGCTGAGTTTGCTATGATTGATTAACTTATTGAGAAACTTGTGTCTCATAGATAAGACTTCTTTTGGAACTTACTATGTGAAGCCAGCCTAAAGCATCAATCTTGCCAAAATCTGCTTTTGACTAGTAGCTGAGAATCCTATGCTGAAATATTTATTTCGACTAGGCTAACCATGGGTACTGGGACCTGATTTCCCAGTCCGAAGGTGATCTTGGCAAGACCTGACTCTTTTTTTGTTTATCACCAAAATGGTGCACACGCCCAAATACTCCGACGGAAATGTTGATTGGCCACCAAGGAACTCAAGCCTTTTTAAGCTTGCGCTAGCGCCCCGTAAATCCGGCCTTCGAGGAGGATCCGAGGGTGTACATGATGCTGACTTGGAACTTTCGTCTCGATGGTTAGAACAGCCTCATATTCGAAACTGTCTTATTCTTGCTCCCTGTTTAGCGTGTAAGGGATCCTACAGTCCCCGCCGATACGACCATGCGGCCGTCAACCCGAGCACGATGAAGTTCCCTTACTTTTTCATTAGTAATTGTCACCTATTAAGTGTTTCTACGCCTCTTATTGTGGCCCTTGAGAATACCGAATTTGGACCGGTTAAGACATAACTGAGAAAGTCAAATATGTGAATAGCCCTCCGGGCATAAGGGCCTTCTAGCCAGAAGTAAAAGTTGTGGAAAGAGGCCCCGTGAATCACATTATGCTGGCATCATGAGCTGCGGAGCATTGCTCAAAATGTGGCAACCGCCAGTTAAGGAAATGGCAATAAGATAGACATAAGAAGCGTCTAAGAGCGGCTTCATATATGTACCTCGACATGCTAAAAAAGCCTGATGAAAAGCATTGGTGCCTTCTCATATCACAACTTTGTGAGGACGCAAAATCCTCAATTTCGCCACGCGAAAGGCTGCAGGCAAGAAAGTCGAGCTTGTAACATCAACCTAGATCCGGTAAGACTCATGGAAAGAAAAAAAATATGTGCTTAGGGCCGGGCCACGGGAAGTGGCTGTCCCTTGGTGGTTATGGTATCTCTATTGCCTCCCCTCGAGATCACCTCTGAGAGAAGAGGGTCATTCACAAATGTGATTAACTCCAAAAAACTCAGCGTACGTGCGGAGTATGCTTTGGCGGTCCTTCTGTCCATATTCTGCGGAGGCAAGTGAATGAAAGGGGTCTGTGCAGATATGACGACGTCAGAGCCCAATCGGCATTGGAATCGTGGAGTGTGTGGAATTGAGGTCTCACGTTTTTGACTTCATTAATGCATCTCGCTTCGTCTTACTCGTGGGGCAGAAA